CGGCCTCACAAAAAAAGTCTCTCTTCTCACGGGTTGAATGCTTAAGGCTTTTTGTGGTGGCTCACTCGGTGTATCGCTCTCATTTTTAGTGGAGGTGTTTTGGGGGTCGCTCACGGTAGCTTTGCCTTTGCTACTTCTTTCCAATTGAACTTGATCCAGATATACCTCGTGTGGGGACAAAGGCGCCAGCACGACCTTACGTCCTTGGTGTTCAAACGAATGCTTGTTAGTGAAACCGTCGTGAATGGCTTTCCGGTCAAACTGCCACGGCCGTCCTAACAGAATGTGTCCGGCCTCCATGGGTAAGACATCGCACAATACTTCATCTTCATACCGTCCGATTTTGAATGGCACGGTGACTTGCTTGGTGACTTTGAGCTGCCTTTGGTTATTAAGCCATCTGAGATTGTATGGATGCGGATGCTTGATGGTTTGCATCCCGAGCTTCTCCACCATATTATGGCTCGCCACATTCGTGCAACTTCCACCATCTATGACCATGTGATAGAAGACCGTCCTAGGATTGTCACACACTTGGTTCGGTGGAGGTTGATAGATCCTTGGATCCAGACCGATTCGGTGAAAGAGATGCTAAGGCGTGAGTTGTGGCTCGAAAATCCTTAGGCCCAAATTCAAAGAAGAGGTTGGAAACGAGGGGATGGACAAAACGATCAAGGGGGTTGCGATATCGGATGTTAGGGTGTGAGACAAGTCTCGAAATTCCCTAAGCTCCTAATACGACTACAACTCTCTCTCACACTTTGGATTCGAAGGCTGCGTCAAGCAGGGTGAAACTACTTGATAAACCGAAGGTCGATCAATGGCTAACCACCAAAATATCGACAAAGTTCATAAAGAACAAAAGAGAAAACTCAAAGAGAAATTTTATTTAAAAGATAAGTGATGAAAGATCCAAGTACATTGTCGCCTTTATATAGAGGCTAAAAGGAAGACCATAGGTCTTAACGGAAATTAAAAGACATTAATGAAAACTAAACGAGGCTAGATGCGTTGAATAACGATTGGATTTCCGGATGACCCTTCGCGTCCTCTCGCTAGACCTTTAAGCTTCCTTGACCATTATACTTGGCCGCGAATCGAACCATGGTCGTGAGATGGGCGTGTATTAACCTCGTTAAAACCCCATTCGGAAAACCTAGTGGGACAAAACCGAATGTAAGGAAAAAGAATATTAACACAACACCCCAACCAGGTCAGTTCGGACCAGAGTACCTGAGAACGGTCATGACTTTGTTCACGGGTGTTGGGTCGTCAGCTCGGCCTTGGTTCCGTAGCTCGGTAAGGACTTGTTGGATGGCCCCCATAAGCTTCTTTGTACGCGACCTGGTCATGGGTCCAACTGGTATGGCCAGGACATCGGGCTGGTCGGTATCTTGGTCTTGTACCCTTCCCTGAACCTCGACTTCGCTCAGCTCGGTCACCTCAGCTATTTGATCTTGTGTTCCGAGCTGAACCTCTATTTGTTCCTCGTACTTAACTCCCATCTTGGCCATGATTTTATCAGTAGTAAAATAATATGGTATTCAAAATCACTTTATATTAGAATGATTAAATGTAATATATTAAGACAATTCAAAATATAAATACAAACCTAACAGAAGAATGGCGAAGATTGTTAGACCAATAAACGAGGTTTGAAAAGGTTTCTTCATAGTAGATGATATAAATTTGATGATGTTTTAAAATTTAAAAAGAGAGAGAGAGAGAGAGGAAGAAGTGTACTTATATACAAAGAAGTTAGATGAATACATATCTAATATAAGCAATTTACCTCTTTTGATTCCTATATAAAGGGATCTGAGTTTACACAATTCCAGATCTTTTGCTCATTTGATAGGTAAAACCTTTAGATTCGGTCATTCTTCTCTCCTTTATTTAAATATTTTCCAATGTACATAAGAACGATGAAATTTCATTAAAAACACATATCTAATTTATAATATATATATATATATATATATGTATATATATATAGTACATAACATATCAATCATCAAATACACAAGAAATATCAATTTGGTTTAAATAGCAGAAATGCAATCTAGAATTAGGGTATTAAAATAGAGTTTTGCGTTTAGTAAATGAGTAAGTTTGTTATGAAGTGGAATTAGCTGAGAAAGAGAGATTGGGGTTTCACATATTGAGAATGGTACTTTTGTAACATAGTTATGAACTTTCGATCGATGTAATCGATACTTCAACAAATTATTTTTAGCAAATTATGTTTCAATTAATATGCCTAATCATATAAATATCATAATGAGATTTATATGCATTGTTAAATCAATATTAGTTTCAAAGTTATTTGATTTCTAAAAAAATATTCACTTTCGAGTTTTATTTATTTCTAAATTATTTTGCTTTGTTTCATAGGGTTATAAATTTTAGAGAAATTGCATTATATAACCATCAAAAAAATATAATTCACAAACTAACCAAAAAAGCATCTGAACACAATATTCTCTGTATATTATATATTAATACACTTTTACCCTTTCTTTATTTTATTTTATTTCTTTATTTTTTCTTTTTCTTTTTCCTTTTTTTCTTTTTCCTTCATTCTCTTACGCATACTCCTCTCTTGTATCTGTCGCTCCAACCACCATCTTCTCCTCAATTTTCCGATTCTTTTTCCCTTGTCGGCTTGTATCTGCAATTCTAATCTCATGTACTAATTTTGATTTGCTTTCACATAACTTGCATAAGTTTTAAAAATTTAATTTATCTCAATAGATTTGATTAATTTACATATCTTCTCTTTTGATTTAGAATTTTAATTGATTTTTTCTATCTAAATTTCAATTTGAATTAATTATCAAAAGTTATATCATGTTCCACTTTTTTCACCATTGCTACATCTGTTGTTGTCGATAACCTGATCACGCGATCTTCTTCTCCACCACAACGTCTTTCTCGACTCAATACCATTGGTCGGTTATAGTTTCTCTCGCACATGAATTCTCACCATAAATTAGCCAATGAGAGCTTTCTGCCCATCAGAGGTCATATCATTAAATACCCAAATTTGTATATAAAGTTTATTAGTATAGATTATCTATTTATATAGAATGTCTATTTTTTTGGTTTTCAGCTACTTATTTGATATAAATAAGTTTGGATAAACATCGCGAACTTCGCAAATAAAGATATAGATTTCATGTTAAAGCAAAGAAGAGTAAAATGGTACCAAAAAATGTATATGTGTTGTGTTATTGCTAGATTAACTATGTATCTGATTTTTAAAAATAGACATACTATGTTATATAACAAAAATAGACTTTCTATTTTATTTGTACTACTATTGACATTTGAAATTTAAATCATATTAGGCGTGAAAAAATATCAGTGTTTTCTTAAATCCTAAAACAAACTTTAATTAATTAATAGTTTACAAATAATACCAAAAAATAAATTTTCTGGAATAACTATATGTGCAGTAAATAGAACATGAATAAAAAATGTAGTCTAACTATTTTTTTCTTTTGCAGAGATATAAAAATGATGACGTTACTATTCTTTTTATGAATCCAGGCTGACGTGGTTGTTGGAAGGGTTTTTCGTCATTTTTGTTGGTAAAAAACCAAAAAACTAAATATTCACTTATCATAGCCATATTCTTAATAGTTTTTGTTTTTTTGGTTATACACTAAATTAACCCTAATTTTATGGGTCAAAATATTTAAAAAAAAAACAATTGTGACAAATATTATTCTTAAAAGTTTCATGTTGACCTGCTCAATTTAATTGGTTTTTGGCAAAATCTTAAGTTATATTTTATTTCATACCAATTTTTGCATATTCAAATTCTAATTCAAATTCTAATTCTAATTCTGATTCTAATTCTAATTCTAATTCGAATTCTAATTCTAATTCTAATTCTAATTCTAATTCTAATATAAACTTATGTATTAAATCCATATTACTAGGTCGTTTATTAGAAAAAGCAACCCCAAATATTTGTGACCAGATCCAAAAGTCATTCAATGATATCAACACAGTTAAAAATATATACTTAAAACAAATTTATTTGATCTACATAATTATATTTGACGCATAATTAGCTCCTAAATTAGTTGATCTAATAATCTAGATTTAATATGATTCTTCATGTAGTAAAAATATAGTGTGTTTTAATTTCATGTTTGAATACAGATAGATTATATTAAATTAAAATCATATTAAATTGCATATTCAAATTCCAATAACCAAAAGTTACAAAGAAGGTTTATAAAGTCATCAAACAATATAAAAATACAAATACACATCACTTTCCTTCTATTTTAACTAACAAACATTATAAACTTTTTCTATAATTTAAAAATGTATTACACTATTTTATATTAATACTCAGTATAATTACGTGGTTTACACCTAAAACCAGTTCAATTATTTTTATCTTATATTATCTAATTTTTTTTAAATAGTTTGTAAATATTTCATGACTACCTAATATTGTTGTTATGAATGGTGTTTTAAAAGGATATGTTCTTAAGCTCGCCCACTGAGTAATTTCTCCAATTTCAAACTTCCTCCTTTTTCTGAATAAGGTTAGACGTTTCTTATAAAAGAATATTATTCGCAACGCTTCTGTTAATCAAAATATTTGTAAGTATATCCAAGTATTAAATGAGGAATTGCTTTAATCTATATAATGTTTTTTCCTTTCATTTATATACAGTTCTTTATTATGGCACATAACGTAATTCTTGTATCAACCGTAGGTTGCCTTTAATTCTTGTATCAACCGTAGGGTGCCTTTTTCCGCTTCATCATTAAGGCTATTTTATTAATGAACAAGAAAATAACAACGTTACAAAACAAAACAAAAATGTGGCGTACGTATATGTAACATTAATCACTACAGTTATTAAATATTAATGATCCCATTCTCATAAGTTTCAGTATAAAATCTAACTCTGAATGTTCATGCATAAAATAATTCATTTAAAAATTAAAATAAATAGATAAAATACCATAAAATGAAGATCAATATATTGGTCATTGTTGCATTCTCCTATTTAGTTGTCCTGCGATCATTAATGGTGAAACAAACACTCAACTACGAGTCAATATTTAATTTTGGAGATTCTTTAAGCGATACCGGAAATTTTCTTATCTCTGATAATGTAAATTTTCCGGCCATCAGAAAACCACCATATGGTGAAACATTTTTCAATCGTTCAACCGGTCGGTTCTGTGATGGACGTCTCATCATTGATTTTATCGGTTTATTTCTCATCTCTCTAACATTATTTTTACTTGCATAAAATATATATAGGCAGAATATACACTAAATTTGTTTCAGCTTATTATCTCTTTTCATTTTATTCCAAAAAATTTTAAAAATATAATTCTTTATATACTTACTAGAACTGAGTAAATCAAATGGATAATTTTATTTCATTTAAAATACAGTGACAAAACTTGAGAAAAAAAACAGTGTACATCTATTATTTATTTATCTATATATATAATTTATAAATATTATGTCTATATGTAACTTTATAAATTTTTATTATTCATCATATGAATCATGAAAATACTGAACTTTTCCAAACTAAGAAATCAAAAATTAACTTACCTTTCTACAACACTGCAACTTTTTTCGTTAAATTTTTTATTTTTCTATATTTAAAAATTTTACAAAGCAGAGCTGATATTTTTGGGACTACCCGAATTTTGACAGATATTCAAAACATCATCTATCTACTAGTTAAAAAGAAGGAAAGGATAAAATAAATAAAATGTTGATCTAGACATAATGAAACAGATCACATATACCATAGAAATTCAAAATATCGGTTCGAGTCCACCATATACATTAACATTTTTTTGTTTGCCAACGATATATATTAACAATTCAAAACCTTTGTTCTTTCAGTTTAAAAAAACAATTAAAAACAAAAAATGTGCAAATTAAACTTACATGCACGAAATAAAATCATTAAATTAATTTTGAATATGTGACTAATTGCAGCTGAGGCCAACGGATTACCATACGTTACACCATATCTCCAAAGTGTACAAACAAACTTTTCGGTGGATTTTAGGAAAGGAGCAAATTTTGCGGTGGCAGGAGCGACGGCGAACGAATTTAACTTCTTTAAAGAAAGAGGTCTTTCGGTAACATTGTTGACGAATAAGACATTGGATATTCAACTTGATTGGTTCAAGAAGTTGAAACCTTCTCTTTGTAAAACCAAGCCAGGTAAAAAAAAATGCATCATTTTAGTTTGATAGTTGACGAATAGTCAATTTTCATTTTCATTACTTTGATAGAAAAAAAAAGGAGAAACATAGTTTTAAGAATTATTTGAGAATTTGTTTTTTAAAAAACTGATATTTATAATGGTATCGGTAAAATATTCAGAAACAGTAAATTTCAACCAACAGAAATTATGATGATAGGTTGTGAGATTTGGTTTAATAGTTTTTTTTCTTAAATAAAGTCTATCTCATATTTTCAAAACTTTGAAAAATATAATTTTATTAAATTATAAGATCATATATATTACTGTAATAAAATTTAAGAATTTTAAAATTATTAAATAAATCAGCGATTATTACTAGTTCAAAAGCCCCACCCCCCCTCCCCCCCCCCCAAGTTAGCACATTACACATACTGTATTTCTCTTGCCTTGGTTTCAAGTAGTTACAAAAAAAAAAAAAAAAACAAATTTTCAGTCTAATTTAAAAAAAGGCACTCTAAGAAAATTTTATAAAAGGGTAGTAGTATCTTATAATTGATCACGTGAAATGATATCATTTTTTCCTTAATTTTTCATAGAGACAATTATTCCATGATAATACAATTTGGTTTAATTCTATGCTTAAACATGAGTTCGTTTCAATATGAAGTTTTTGAAATATTTTCTTACAAATTCCTCTAGTTTTTATTTATTTTGAATATATTTTTAAAATTTGAAGAAATAATGTAAGAATTTTTAAAAATACAAGTAGTTCTGATTTGCAACATAACTTAGAAAATGTAGTACTCCATATGATAGTGTTTTCTTGGCATAATCTAATTTATATATTTATTGCAGAATGTGAACAATATTTTAAGAAATCTCTATTTTTCGTGGGAGAAATCGGTGGAAACGATTACAATTACCCTCTATTAGCATTCCGAAGTTATAAACATGCGATGGATTTTGTACCATTCGTCATTAACAAAATCATCAATGTCACAAGTGTAAGTAGGAAACGTTTAGATAAACTTTATTGTCTTTAAAACGTAAATTAGTACAGATATCCATTCATTAATTAATTAATTAATTAACACTTGGTTTTGTTTAATTTCAAGGCCTTGATAGAGGAAGGTGCGGTGACGCTGGTGGTTCCGGGAAACCTTCCAATTGGTTGTTCGGCGATTCTATTAGAGCGGTTCAGTGATGATAATAGATGGCTCTATGACTCGACAAACCAATGTTTTAAGCCATTGAACTATATTGCTAAGCTTCACAATGATAAGCTAAAGAAAGGCCTAGAGACTCTAAGACAAAAGTATCCTCATGCCAAGATCATCTATGCTGATTATTACGGTTCTGCCATGCAATTCTTCAACTCACCTGTCAAATACGGTAATAATACGATTTTGATATTATCCCTATAACTAGTTAGACATGTTTAGCAGATATGATTGACCCAAAAAGATTATTAATTTTTGATATTAGTTCGATATGTTTTTTGTTGTTGTTGCATTATAGGTTTTACTGGAAGTGTCCTAAAAGCATGTTGTGGAGGAAAAGATGGAAGATACAATGCAAAACCAAGTGTACGGTGCGGTGGAAAGGGTTCAACGACTTGTGAAAACCCCTCAACTTATGCAAATTGGGATGGAATCCACCTAACCGAGGCGGCGAACCGCCACATTGCGACTGGTCTCATCTCCGGCCGGTTCACCAAACCTTCTCTTAATAGTTTACAAGTTCAATAGTTTACAAGTTATAATATCAAACACACACAATATCAAACACACGCAAAACATATATGGTCTCATTTTATAACATATATAAATTCGATCGTATTCATCTACACATGTTAGTAAAAGTCATGAGATGGAACTTTTTGTAACAAATAAGGAAACAAATAATAATTGATATCTTTATTTATAATCACATATTGTGTATATAAAAGTGCATAATACTAAATATTAGACGTGTGCATACACACAAGGTCATGTTTCATTATTTTTAATCCTCACTCAAACTAATCACTTAATGTACAAGACGATTTCGTGTCATGTTCAATGTCAAAGCCAAAAACCAGACACATCAACAGAATAATAAGATTGTCTCTCGATCTTGAAGCAACTTGGGAACAAATTCTTCTTGTGATTTAGAATTTGGTTTCTTCTCTTTTTTTTACTGAAGTATAAAAATGATTATCAAGATCCATAAGTGAGCCATCTTGTGAATATAGTCTATTTTATTTGGTTCATTAAAATATGTAATTAAAAAATTACTTTTACATATCTACAGCTACATCGTCATCATCATCAGTGTCATCGTCTTCCCAATCGAGGTTAAACGAATTAGCAGCTTTCTTAAGCTCAGTTAAACCAGTAAGATCCTCCAGGTATGTAGGATGGTTAATAGCTTCAAGTATGAAACTGTTTCCTCTCTCTCTATACTCCGATATCACCTGAAGATACAAAGTTAAATAACATCATAAAAATTCTCAAGCTCTCTGTTTTGACTAGAGAAAAACTGTCGACAAGTGGGAAACTTACGGTTTCAGAACAAGCGGTACAGCTATTTGAAGCTTGCCCTAGCAACGTGATCTGTGAGAACTGAGAAACTGAGCCTCGAATCTGATGAGGTAAGATCCCGAGAGGCGAGTCATCAATGTTTCCTCCATTACTCGAGCTAGAGTTGTCTCCTTTTGCATAGATACTGTTAAGAACATATATGTAAGAAGATAATCAGGCTTATGTGACTGAGTATACTAAATGGAGAGTAGAGTTTGAAAGACTAACCCAAATGGGTGTTGTAGGACTCCGACTAAGAGTTCAACGGCGAGAGCTCCTGCTATAGGAGCTAGACCCGGTCGTGTAACAGTGCACTGTTGGTCCAGAGTTCGATCAGTCATTGACTGTCCAAAACAAACAAAAAAAGCTGGTCAAGACGAGAGGTAACGTAAAACAAAAGTCTCACAATCCAAAAGGCTCACATCTTGAGGTGCAACCACGTCATTGCAGAAGTAACAACCAAGTCTCTGTGTCTTTGTCTTGTTCATGTCAAGATTCTGCATATCATCAGATAACGAGGTGGTTGGGCCAGCGCCATGACGCATTACCATGTAGCTATCGAAACCTAAAGCCGCGTTTATAGCAATCTGAAATTTTTGAAATCAAAACACCAACCAGATTTGTTATACTTAAACCTAAGAAAGAAAGAAAGAAAGAAAGAGAAGAAGACTTTGATTTTACCTTGTTGGCGTTAGCACATAGCAGAGAAGGTAGCCACCGGCTTTCTCTTGTATCGGTTAACAAGAACACAGCATCATGAGATTCAATCAAATCACTAAGGCGTTTACAGTCACCGAGAACAGATTCTTCTTCTTGGCTAGAAATCGGATGTCCTGGCATTGGTATAGCCATAACAACTCCAGTAGATTCCATCGCTGGGAATATCTGTTTGAGGCTTTTCACAGCAGCAACAGCTTTGAACTCACCACGACCTACACAATCTTCAAACGTGTATAGAGATTGCCTGACTGGATTAGACATAGCTACTTTGCCATAGTCAACAAAAGTGATATTGCGGATTCCCCAACCCTGAAAAAAAAAACATATGTAAAACAAGTTCTTGATTTAATCAGTGAGTTTGTAAGATTGTTTTTAATCGAGATAATCTGATTGATACGTACCATAAGAGTACGAGCAACTTGGCAACCCAATGTACCAGCTCCAAGAAGAAGGCATTTGACAGAGGACAAAACATTCAAGTTCAGAGATGGTAATGCACGCCATCTCATTAACTTTAAGTTTAAATCACAAGCAGAAACAGCCAACCTGCGAAAGGAAGTGAGTGAATCCCTTTCTGAGTACTCAATTAGTTGACAAAATCTTTGACACAGAGCAAAGACGTACCTAGTTGGATCCATGGAATTAGCTAGGCTAATGGATCGGGGAACTCGTTTGCCTTTGTTAAGCTCCCATCCCACTGAGTTAGGTGCAGTCTCAGCTGATGAAAGTGTGACTAAGGCTTGACCAACAAGGGAAAGGTTCAGGTCAGCGAAACCGCGACTCTCTCTGTAGCAAAAGAACCAAACTGTCTCGAGGTTCCATCTTGAGCGAATAAGTGCCAAGTAATTTCGAAGTGGCCAACCAGGATTACTCGAAAGGTGACATGGGTCATAGAAACCGAAAAGCAACTGCAGAAAGAGAGTAGGATAAAGTTGAATACTTTTATCGGTTTCTAACGTATTTGAAAGAGATAGTTGCACATACCTTTTGATGATCACCTTGGCAAGATTCCCAGTCTTTAAGATGTCTGATAGTAGCTTTTGAATCAGACGAAACCGAAACCAAAAAGAACGGAACATCTATAGCAAAACACGGACAAGTAACAAACGTTTTCAGCTACCACCTTTGCATAACAATAAGAATAATTGATTGCTGAGTACCTGTAGTTAAATTTGAGTCGCGCCAATCATTACAAGCAGCGGATACTGATTCTGCTTCTTCTACACTAAAATACTCAGAAGCTGGCTTTAACTCTACCAAACTTGCGGGAGGATCAAGTACAAGTGCAGGGAACGCAAACCAGTAACGAAAACTCCATTTTTTAAGGTCTGCGAACGAGATAACAAGGAATCTTGATAACAGAGAACAGTCCTCAACAGCTTTTCCTGATTGAATATCTTCCCAAATCTGAAACTCACCAAACAAAATTGTGGTTAGATCTATCTTCAACAAGAACCGTCTAAACCAAGTCAGAGAATAAGCTGTAGTACCTTCTTTGCTTCTGCCTTTAGCAAGCTTTGCTTGTCAAGTTTATTAAAGCTTTCGACGGTATTGGTGTTATACAGAATCCCAGGAACAGGACACTTATTCCTATTTCCATGACTAGTACTCTCCATCGATGATTGTTCATCATCTGAAGGTAATGACTCTGAAAGAAGAGTCAAATGATTCGAGACTTGTGGATGAGAACATGGTGCATAGAAACCTGCAATATCAATCCCCAAAAAAAAAAGAAAAAAAAAACTCATTACATTGATCTCCAATAGTAAAGATTATGAATTGTTGATGATGATAGCAAACCCACATGAGTTCTAACTTCTTAATGTGGGATTCGATCTAAAAGTTACCATTTTAAAATATTTACAGATCAAATTCTGAACAGGGGAATTAAAAGTTCTCAACTTTTTTCTGTTCTCTTACCTAATTGGATCATAAGATATATCCCTCAATACAGAAATCAATGTGAATGCATGATTCATATGTTAAAATCTACGTTTTGGGTAGTTTCTTAATTCATCGTTTGTGTGTTTACCGGTGATGGGAATCGGAGAATCGTCGATTCCGAGTTTGTCGAGTTTCAAAGAGGAGAAGCTATGCCAGAAACCTTCGTCGACGGAACTGTTGAATGGAGCGAATTGAAGTATCGTTTGTGGAGTTTCTACCTCATCCATGGCCGAATCTAATCTCCGAGTGATTGCAATTTCTCGAGAGTCAATTACTGTAAGAAAGAAGAAGAAAAGCAGAAGACGATGACGGAGAGAGGAGAGAAAGAGGAATCGTGCAAGGAACAAAGTCAATCCGGCCCGTGTCGAGTCGGGTCGGATTAAGATTGATGCAAACCAAAATCTGGTTTATTTTTTAAACTACACTGCGTTGCGCATATTTCATCTTTAAACAAATATTATGTTGAACTAGGTGAATACCTGCACATAACGTGCGGGGTTTTTTTTTCAACTATTTCAAATTTATATTTTTTTTTCTAAAAAAAATATAATCATCAATTGATATATTATTATAAATCAATCAATTTTAAATGCAATATCATTAAAAATTTTAAATTTTTATACCAAAAAACCATCAGTATTTTTAATTAATTATAACATAAATTCTTGTTCAATATTTACATAAATGTTATTTAAGAATCAATTAATAAAAAAACTTTTCATATTATTAACAAATCAAAAGTTTTTATAAAAAAATCATCAATATTTTTAATTAATTATAACATAAATTCTTGTTTAATATTTACATAAATGTTAATTAAGAATCAATTAATAAAAAAACTTTTCATTTTCTTTGAGTGGTTAAGAACTTAATATTAAAATTTATATTTTAATTTTATTTAAAATTATAACTTTAAATTAAAAATTAACACATGTCATCTCCATATTAACTCTAAAATGCTGAGGTGGCACTCATATAGAGAGAGTTAGCCATCTTTTATATATAAGATACCTGCACATAACGTGCGGGTTTTTTTCTTCAACTATTTCAAATTTATATATTTTTATTTTTCTAAAAAAAACATAATCATCAATTGATATATTTTTATAAATCAATCAATTTTAAATGCAATATCATTAAAAAAATAAAATTTTTATACCAAAAAACTATCAATATTTTTAATTAATTATAACATAAATTCTTGTTCAATATTTACATAAATGTTATTTAAGAATCAATTAATTAAAAAACTTTTCATATTATTAACAAATCAAAAGTTTTTATACAAAAAATCATCAATATTTTTAATTAATTATAACATAAATTCTTGTTTAATATTTACATAAATGTTAATTAAGAATCAATTAATAAAAAAACTTTTCATTTTCTTTGAGTGGTTAAAAACTTAATATTAAAATTTATTAATTAATTTTATTTAAAAATTATAACTTTAAATTAAAAATTGACACATGTCATCTCCATATTAACTCTAAAATGCTGAGGTGGCACTTATATGGAGAGAGTTGGCCATCTTTTATATATAAGATATTTGAACAATTAACTCATCGTGTTTATCTTCTTTTTTGTTCTTAAATTTTTTTATTTTATTAGATTTATTTCTCATTTTTATATTTTTATATTTTTATCATTTTCATCTTCGGGTCTTCTTTTTCATCTTCAACGTGTTTGTCTTCATATTTTTCAAATTCTTCTTCATGAGCTTTGTGTTCTTTTTATTTCTATTATTTATCTTTTTTTTTCATTTTTCTCTTTATCATCTCCGATTTCTGCTTATTATTCTTCATCTTTTTTGTTTTTTTATTTTATTTAATTTCTGATTTTGTTTCATCTCTTATTTTTATTTATCTGGTGTATATATTCTTTTTTTTCTCTTTGTCTTCATCTATATTGTCTTAGTTTTTAATTTTTTCATCATCTTTGGATTTTTGTTTATCATAATAATTTTCTCTAATTTATTCTTCTTCTTTTTTCTATTTTACTATTAATTTTTTTTAAATAATAATAATAAATTATGTGTGAATAATTGAATCATTAATTTTAATATTAGTATTAGTGTTTTTTTTAATAAAAATAATAGTTACTTAAAGTGAAAATTGATTGACTCATTAAATTTAGTTTTGATTTTTTTGCTGATGTGGACGAGAAAACTTTTCTATTATATAATAGATTGAGATCGAGAATTGGGCGGATCAGCTTCTTCCATAAATTGATAAGAAACCAAAACCGATTTATTTTCTATCTACGTAATAATGGTGAGATCCGGTTTTCTGTATGTGCCAAAAGTGCAAAAACACAGATCCAGGAATACTATTTCATATTTTCTTTTTCGTTTTTCAATTATATTGTAAAGCACAAATTGCATTGGACACAAGTGTTTTTTTTTATTTTAATATTTCTTAAAATGAATTGATAATCATATAATATGCATAAAAAAGTAGGTTCATTTATGTATGATAAACATGGTCTATAGTATATTTTTGAATCGGATTTTATTGTTAAACAAAACTTGTGAACGGTGAACAAAAAAACGTTTTTCACTGCGAACAGAATAATCCCCTCCATCAATTTTCACATTATATATATTGCCTTAGGCATTTCATGCATTCTTGATATATCAGTTTTATTTGGTGCAACTCGATTGTGTACGTGTTAAAACTTATCCCTAGCTATGTATTATCGTCAAGATTTATTGATAATTTTGAATATTCGGACATACGTGGCTAAATTTGAAAGAAACAATTTGAACTTGTCAAATCTTTTGCATCACATAAGCTTACAATTTTACAAATTGCATACAACAAAGACTTATAAATATAACCACAAACTATTCAATCATCACTTTTAGACATAGAACCCACACATACATATACACATTTAAATGCTGAACCGGGTAATAAACCCTTTTTCATATAGTTGGGTAAGAAGCTTTCATGGCAAGACCACATAGTCCTTTTTTATCCTTCACATCTTTTTTAATCCTCATGTAACCACTTTCTCCCCATTTTGTCCCCCAAGAATTCTTGATGATCCAATACTTTGATCCGTTGCTAGATTGGCCGTATCCAACCGCAGTCACCGCATGATCAAGATACGTCGTGCACTCTCCGGTGAACACACCGGAGCCATAGAATTGAAAATCAAAACCACCTCCTTCAATTCCAATGCTAACAGGTTGGTGTGCCACTGCCTTCATTAGGGCTTTCTCGTCGTTAACCGGGACATCCTCATAACCTTTTATGTGTGTACAAGAAAATTCAAATTCAACACATGAATAATCTATTTTAGGAGTAGAAATGCACATTTGCTTATATGGTTTGTTTTGGTTTGGGACTTTGGGTTGGTTTGGTTTTGTCGCTTTATGATCGAATACAAATAAATTGGTTTGATGTGGCTATTTTGGTATACTCAGTTGTGAAAATTATGATCGAGTTTTTTTCTCAAAAAAAAAAAAAAATCGGTTTGGTTGCAAAATTTGTTATGTTCGGTTAGGTTGTGGATTAACCATGATTTTATACAAAAATTTGTTTGGTTCGATTCCACTAAGCTCGGTTCGTTTTTATTTCAGTTCAGATATAAAAAGTAATGAATTTATCAGATTATTTACAAAAAAAACTTTATTTGGTTTCGGTATAATTTTTTTTGGTTTGGATTGAATATTTCGGTTTATTATATACCATCGATATATTCCTATGCATTTCCACTTTTTTTATGTCTTTTTCAGGGAATTAAAGTGAAACCTGTGATAGAAGTTGCTGTCGGTTTAGTGTTCTTGATCTTGCAAGTAGCGTCTTTGCCTTTGTAAGGATAATTTGACTCAGTGGTTAAACCGCCAGTCGCCATTATGTGCTCAAACGCAGTATCCATTAAGCCACCGCTGCAGCCAAAATCGTTTGTGTCGCAGTCAACAAGCTGTTGTTCGGACAAGGAGATAAGCTTTCCTTTCTTTATCTTTGTTGCTCCTTCAATAGCCGCAACCGCTGAAAACGCCCAACAACATCCTACACAAACACTCACAATTATCAATAATTATATCTTCATGTATATGCCTATCTCAATAAATAAAAGCATAGCAAAATTATTATATGAAGAAAATTTGAGCATTCGATTTGGTTGGGATTATATTGTAATAAACAACTTTTTTCTATGACCAAAAACATGAATGTTGTATATAATAAAAAAAAAACATGAATTTTCAATCAATACTGCTTTATTCAGTTCGGTTTAATTGTACTTAATTTGTTTTTTTAGTTTGTTTAGTGTAAAAACTAAAGAGTCAGTTAACCAAAAAAACATACTAAATTAAAGAGTCCAAATCGTTGGCTAAGAAACTAATTTGACTTCAATTAAAAAATACCGGTTCGGTTTAGTTTAACTAAACTTGGTTTTTGTTCAGCTTGTTTAGTGTAAAAATAAGAGATCAAATCAGTTAGGTTCAAAGAACCAACTTCTGTTCGGTTTCGAATTGAAAAAAAAAAAAATTCAGTTCAACTCGGTTCGGTTAGTTATACTAAATTTGTTTTTTCTTTCAGTTTTATTCAGTATGAAAATTAGATCAAATCGTTTGGATTAATGAAACCAACTTCTTCTCAGTATCGATTTAAACATTTCGGTTCGGTTCAGCTCAGCTCGGTTTAGTTTATGTATACTCATGAGTAAGGATTTTGAATTATTACCGCAAGTGCCTTGATTCTTGATAGGAGTCACAGCTCCTTTCTTTCTCCAATCAACAGAAACCGGCAAGGCACCGGAAGAAACGTTTTGGTACCTAAACGACGACGTTTTTGTTCCACTTTGGCTAGACAACACCGAGCCTCCTTTGTAACCAGTGTACATAGAACGGAATTCGTCGTTGGTTAGATCAGCAAACTGATTCACCGCTAGTTTAAACGTTCTTCCCGCAGGAACGTTGTTTAAGCGTTCAATGCGTTCCACGTTGCGTTTGAACACGACGTAGCGATTGTTTTTCTCTTTCATATCTGCGTAAACACGTCCGTGTTTAGCCATCCACTCGTCGTGCCTCTTTTGCATGATGAGTTCATTGTCGTCGAGAGGACGAGAAAGAGTGATTGATAAACAGAATGATGAAATGAGAGAGACTATGAGAAAGATTTGGATTTGTTTAGAAGCCATTATTTAGAAAAGTAGAAAGATTTTGATACTAATTTGATTACTCTAAAAGGGTCTTGAAGTGGGGTTTTATAGTGAAAAAAGTTTGATGTTATTGGTAATGTTCCCATGAAGAGTATTTTTAGTTTACAAGTAACGATCTTAATTATACATTCAGATACATAACTAAATGATCGATCATAGTTTTGGAGTTTTTCTTGTTTAAGTATTATTTGATATATTAAAGCGAAATACAATTTTGTTCACTTCATTTTGGCAGGATTTTCGTTGCAGATGCGGTTAAGTTTTGTACACAAATCTATTTGGTAATTATAAAGTTCGAACCTATTAAGGCTTTAATATTGACTGGTGTTTAGCACAACTGATGATCAATCGATGGTTATGATAAACAACTCTACGAAAAAAGACTCCACGACGTAACTTTCTGTTGTAACACACACTGTTCTACAACTTCTACATGCATCACATCTATGGCAGAAAGCTTAGTATTCATTAAGTTGCATAAAATGCATTTTCTTAAGCATTTTAAAATAAGATATGAAAAAAAATATATAAATAATTTGGATAAACAAGTAAATTTTACATAGTTATAGACCTTCTGTACTATCGATCTCAGTTTTGCTAACGGCTTTGTTTTTTCAATATACAAGACGTGTAATAGTATTAGATTTTCAAATGTAACCTTAGTTTTTATTTAATTTTACACCGCAACTCGCATACTTATCCGGTTCGGATTACTAACAAACCGGTGTAGGAAAAAACCGTAAAACCATATTGAAAACCGGCTAAAATCGGTGATATTAACATATATATGCATGTATTCAAACCAAAATTATTATATAAATCTGATTAAACCAGTTGAATCGGCCGGGTTAACCCGTGACCAATATGTCTTTTTCGTTCATTATCCGGTCCAGATTTAAAAACATTGCTTTAATGCATCAAAATCACTAATCTCATCAAAACCTGGAATCTTCTTTTGTCTTTTAATTAATTAATTATTTTGAATTCAAAGATTCCGTTCATTCACAAGAGAACCATTCGTGCAAGTTAAAAGAAGGCAAAGAAAGAAAAAACGATTCGACAAAATTAACTAATCCGATTAAATCATCGAATCATAGTCACTCACAACAAGTGAACTTCATTACGCAAAGCATTCTTTTGTAGATAAATCTAAATGCTTTACTAAAAATTTCCTGTTCAATGATGTTTCCCACCAATTTCATCTATTCGAATTTCTATGGAGTTTTCTATTTTGTGCTGAAAATACATTATAATTGCTTAGAAGCTATACTTAGGGATAATAGGAGAAAAATGAATAATCATTGGAGTATAATAAGGATGCGTACGGAATTGTATTTTGGACATAATTCCAAATCATTTTTTCTGTTAAAATTTGAATCCAAATCATATTTGGCTGAAGTGAGAACAACGTCTAAACGACTAAATTCACTTTTACAAATAGATACATATTTTTAAATATAATGATTAGAAAACTATTTTACTATAGTGATATATGTTTTATAACGCAAAGTAACTATCATTATATTTCTGAATACATATATAAACGATATCATATTATATATACATATAAATTCTCTCCATCTAGATGGCCATCATCATCAGCTTGAAAAAAAAGGTTAATATTAATTTTACATGAATAAAAGAAATGTAATTAAATTAGTGTTCTCAAAACAGAATTTAATTGTTTTGATGTCATGAAGTGTATCAAATTTTCAACTAATACTACGGATTAATCCGTGCGGTAGTGCATTTTCAGTTAAGTAAAATAATTATATAAAAACAGTTATTTTGTAAAAACAGTTATTGTTATAAACTTTACGATAATATACTGCATATTTTTTGGGCTGAATTTTAAAAAATGAGTTGGGCCATATGAAGTTTTTTTTATTTTTTTTGGGAATATTATTATATTATATAATTTTATTCTTATATATGCATTCTTTCGTAAATTAGAATTTATTTTTTCATATTCACATCATTACACTGTCTCGTAAATTTTTTTTCTCATATATGCATTCTCTTGTAAATCTCGTAGATTATCCCGTACAATTGTCTATAATTTAGTCTTTTTTCGAAACGTTATTATATTGTATGATTCTTTTTTTCATTTATGCATCTCTTGTAGTCTAGATTTTTTTTTTTCATATTCACATAATGATAATTACATTGTCTCGTATATTTTTTATCATTATTATCTTGTATATTAAAACTACTTGGGCTCTAGGCTCTGCATACTCAAATAATAATAGAGATATGAATCTGACTAACTCAGTAGAAAAGTTTGAACAACATGCCAGCAAAAATAATAATAAATAAAATTATTGAAAATAATCAATTTTTTTAATTGTTTAGAAGAATTTAAAAATCAAATTGACTGGTGAACTATTGTTGATGGCCACTGTTAACGGCTGACTCTACTCATGGCAGAAGTAATATATGCCATGGAGTAGGATTAGAAACCAAAATAGAAACAAGGATAGACTTTTCTTTCTTGAAGTTTAGAGGTCTTCCACTTTTTGACCCCTAAAATTCATAATCTTATAAAAGGCCCCAAGTCATTTTATTGGCTAAGCTTCTACTCAAGACCGGCTGCCCCTGATTTGTTTAGAGAATGTAACTCACTCAAATTTCTGAATTTGGCGATAATAATTTTCTCTTCTTTCACCATCTATATTCTATATATTGTCATTTAACGAATCATCAGTGCTAAATTTCATAACTATGAAAACAAAACGGACATGGAATTCTATATAGTTCATTAAGCCCACAATACTTTACATTTTCTTACGTCCAGCGATTTGACCTTATATTAATAGCTAAAGTTTCTTCTGCCAAAGAGAGAGAAAAAAAGGGTGGTCAAAAAACAAATTTAGAAACGAATGCTATAATTAAGCTTCAATAAACTAAACATTCTTATATTCAAGACCTATCAAAACTAATTTTGAATTAACAAATCAACGATTACCTTTTAGTTACAATCTAAAAATAACAGTCGGGTTTCTAATATAAAATCAAACTCGGTGCTCCACGAGAATAGTTGTCCTCTTCTCAAACATATCTCAACTTATTGTTTGAGACTACACGATTATAAAGAGAGATATCAAAAAGAAGAGAAGACCACAAAACAAAAACAAAACAAAAAAAACAAAAAAATTATCAAATCTCTAACAATAATGGTGTCCAAAGCCATCTTCTTATCTTTCTTCGTCGTCGCTGCCGTGTGTTTGTCCTCTCTCGCCGGTTTTGCCGCCGCAGATGCTGACGACTTCGACCGTTTCCAGATTCAGGGATCAGTTTATTGTGACACTTGCCGTGTCCAATTCGTTACCCGTCTCAGCAAATTCCTCGAAGGTATTTCAATTATAATCAAATATAAGTAGCGCATGCCCTAAACTGGAGCTTCTTAAAAATAAGTTTTTAACTCATCAAATATACTTACATTTGAAAAAATAATGCTCGCATTACAAAATAGTTTGAGAGAGCCATGTGCATGCATATTTTAGAAATGCATGCAACACCGTACAATAACCAGTGTTTTTTTTAGAAAAACAAAAATCGTGCAATATTTATATATGTATACAATTTACCAATATACAATTTACACAATTTAATATTCTTTAGGCTTAGATCAACCAATAAATTAGTTAATTATTCTTTAGACTTTAATTAGTGATAATCCCTACTATTAGTTAGTCCTTCACAAAATCGACGAAGATCGAAACAGATAAAAGTTTTAGAGTGTAGTAACATATATATATATATATATATAAACTTAGACTACAATTTTTTTTATATATCTCGTAATTTTTTTTATATATCTCGTAAATTCAACCATTGATTCAGCCATTAACATTTTCAAATCACCAAATCATTCCTATTTCGAAGCCTTAGCCGGACTATTGTATATTTCTTTGAATTCTATTTTTAACACATTTTTGTTTTGTGTATTTTCTTAAGGTGCGAAAGTAAAGTTGGAATGCAGGAGCAGAACAAACGGAACCCTAACGTTGACCAAAGAAGCCGTTACCGACAAATCAGGAAGCTACAAGATGGAAGTAACCGGTGACCACGAAGAAGAAGTTTGCGAGCTCGTGTTGGTCCAATCACCAGACAGTGGTTGCAGTAACGTCAGCAAAGAGGCTTACCTTCGTAACGCCGCTAAGATCAGCTTAACGGCGAACGACGGAATTGTCTCTCACGAGACACGTATCGTTAACCCTCTCGGTTTCATGGTTAAGACCCCGTTAGCTGACTGTGCCGCTGCTTTCAAGGAGCTCGGTATTGTCCCTGACGTCACCTTCTAAGCGAAGAAAGAAAATATATATTATGACGTGAGAGATTTTATTTTCTATTTGCTTCATCTTGAAGGGTTTTTCGTCAATTATTATTATGAATCATGTGAAATTTTCGCCTTTTTTTGTTTAATTTGAACTCTGAGGCATACTTTGATGTTCCATAGTGAAAAAGATGTAATTTGGTTATACAATGCTGAGGAAATTATCTATTATTACTACAAGTCTACAAATCATTATGCTATATATACGTGTAATAGTCGATCTGAAAACCTAATTAAATAATGATAGACAAATAATAATCTATAATCTAGGACAGAGAGAGAAAAAAAAACTATTTGATTCCTATTTGATTCCTATTTGATCACCAATTCACCATAAATGAATGGCTTTAGAAACGATTCAACGAATAACTATCTCCACAGTACACGGATACGACAAATGGTTATAAAATTACTATAATTTTTTGTCAAAGATATAATTACTACACTTACCATATAATATAACACAGAATTACAACGGATACAACACAATAGAACTGTCCATAAAATTTTGCATCCATAACGTTATATTCAAGAAACCTAAAACCGAACACTATATGCTCTATAAAAACAATGAAATTTTGGTAAACCTCTTTATACTTTCCCTGGTAATTGGTTTGTTTTCCAAAACCTCTTTATACTTTCCCTGGTAATTGGTTTTTCCTACGTCCTAATAATTTCCGAAACCTAAAAATGGGCCTATTCTGGGCTTACAAACCTCGTTTCTGGTTTTGGGTTACCAGTTTCTTACAAGAAAAGCTCCAAAGATTTGCATTTTGGTAAGTATCACTAATAGAACTATTGTTCACAAATAAAATCATTTTGATTTGTTTTTGTTTTACAAAAAGTGTTATTTTATTTTCAATATAATTTATTAAATAAAAATGTAATGTCAACTTTGTCGTTTTAGTGTATTAATTAAAAGAGAGAAAATGTGTATTAACTAATAAGGAATAATGTAAAATTTTAACAATTTTTTTTATATATGTGAAATTTGTCAAATATGAAAGAAAGGGAGTAACAATTTTACTGTTTCCAACAATGTCTATTCTTAGGAACTCGACTGTTGATCCGCTCGTACCAAATTCAAAGCAATCTTACTTTATTCTGTAGTGATTTCTCACTTTGATTACTTGACTTGATCGAGTTATTAGAGATCTAATCGTCTAGTGCTCTGTTTCGTGTTTCAGGTTTGTGCAGAAGATAAAAGAAAGAGAGACGAAATTTACAAGTTCCCAAGGCCTAAATACCGGCCAAGGTACGTCTTGGAGAGCTAAACGCCAGCTCTCAAAGCTTTCACTATGTATGTTCCGAGTACAAGAAACCAGGAGAAAAGATACTATTGAGATTACAAGCCTTGAGCGAGATCAGCTATGGAGAAGATAAGCTTTCTCTCTCTACTCTCTCTCTAGTTCTAATTCTATCTCCTGCTTGTTACTCACACACCCGTCACACACCTGAGTAACGCCGTTATTCCTTTTTGTATCAGGTCCTCACTCTTGGCCGTTTCTGTAACAAACCTTATCACCAGCTTCCAGCAGCTTTGACCTGTTGACCAACAAAAGAACGACTTACTCGGTGACCAAGAACCGGGCTTTTACTTAACTCAGTATCCCGTTGGGCCTATATCCAGTTCACCAGCCCAACAAGTAAGCTTAAGCCCTATAGTCTGAAACGCATCGTTTCTTCACATTCTCCACCTCGATACGATTCAGACCACCAAAGTAGATCTTGACCGACCCACTTCACTCTTCCTCCGACACTCTTCTCTGTCGGAGATCTAACTCGATTTCGAGCTAGATTCAGTCTCTGAGTACTCTCAGATGACTTCTTCCATCTTCAAACTTCGCAACTGGTACCGGCTTCGTCAGAATAACCGCCGGATTTATCTTTGTGTCAATCTTTGACACCACCAAATCACCATCATCAATCACGTCCCTGATAAAGTAGTAGCGAGTTTGGATGTGCTTTGTTCTCTCGTGGAAGACGGCATTCTTTGCTAAGCAAATCGCGCTCTGTGAGTCACAGAAGATTTCAGCCATCTTCTGAGGAAAACCCAACTCACTGGTAAGTCTCTTTAACCATAGCGACTCCTTTGTAGCTTCAGCTAAAGCCATGAATTCAGCTTCCGTTGTTGATAATGCTACAATTTGTTATAGGCCTGAGCGCCAGCTCACGGTATCCCTCCGACCTGAAATGCATACCCAGTAACAGATCTTCGACGATCCAGGTCAGTAGCATAATCACTGTCGCAGTAACCTCTGATGTCAAACTCTTTTGACTTAGTAAAAGTTAGTCTGTAGTTTGAAATACCTTTCAAGTAGCGTAGAATCCATTTAACCGCGTTCCAGTGCTCTTTGTTAGGTGCACTCATGAACCTACTGACCACTCCCACAGCGTGAGCAATATCCGGACGAGAACCAACCATGGCGTACATCAGACTACCAACGGCACTCGAATAAGGTACCTTCTTCATCTGCATCTCAGCTTCTGCTCTATCTTGTGTGCTAGTGCAAGATAACTTGAAATGACATCCCAAAGGAGTTTGGACTGTCTTTAAGTCACTAACACTAAAACACTTTAAAATCTTCTCAATATAAGCTTCCTGAGACAAGTATAACACGCCTTTGGCTCTGTCTCTAATAATATCCATGCCTAGGATCCTTCTTGCTGGTCCTAGGTCCTTCATCTCAAACTCACAGCTCAACATATCTTTAATCTTTTGAACTTCCTGCAAACTCTTAGCCACAACTAACATATCATCCACGTAAAGCAACAAATATACGAACTCATCATTACCATAACTCTTGAAATACACACAAGCATCCAACTGACTTCTAGAAAACTTATGTGCTTTCATGAATCTATCAAACCTCAAGTTCCATTGACGTGGAGACTGTTTAAGACCATACAGGGATCTCTGTAGTAGACAAACCTTGTTTCCTTTTGAATATCCTTCTGGTTGTTCCATGAGAATCCTCTCATCAAGATTACCATGTAGAAAAGCTGTTTTCACGTCAAGCTGTTCTAACTCTAGATCCAAATTAACCACCATAGACAAAACCACTCTTATAGTAGTATGTTTAACCACTGGTGAAAACACTTCGTTGTAATCAATACCTTCAACCTGAGAAAATCCCTTTGCAACCAGTCTTGCCTTGAACCTTGGCTCCTCCAACCCTGGAATCCCAGGCTTAAGTTTAAACACCCACTTACAGCCAATATTCCTCTGTCCCAAAGGTCTATCAATAAGCTTCCAAGTATGGTTCTTATGTAAAGAATCCAATTCCTCATCAGTTGCCCCCAGCCACTTATCTTTGTCACTACTTCTCATAGCTTCTTGAAACGATTTCGGTTCTTCAATCTCCATCATTTCTGCTACACTTAAGGCATAGGCAGCTACATCTCCATCGTCAAACCTACTTGGGGGTTTAATATTAACCCTTCTTACTCTGTCCCAAGCAAGAAGATAGTCATCAAGACCAGATGACATATCTTCGGATTCAGAGTCTTCCTCTAATTCATCCCTGACTTCTGACTCTAATATAACTCCACCTTCACCTGAAGTTCCTTCTTGAGTCTCAACCCTTTCTTTGCTTTCAGTTGTCTCGAAAATAAACTTTTCTTTTCCAGCCTGTTTACTTTCTTGACCAGCAATAACATTCTTCTTCTTAATGTCCTTGAAAAGCGTGTTTTCCCAGAAAATAACATCACGACTAATGACACATTTCCTGTCTTCATAACTCCAAATTCTATAGCCTTTGATTCCCTGAGGATATCCCATGAAGACACCCTTTTTTGCCCTTGGCTTCAGTTTACCCTGATCAACATGATAGTAAACAAGACACTCAAACCTCCTCATATGAGAATAACTTGGTTTCATACCGGTCCACACCTGTTCTGGAATTTCCAAACCCAGAGGTACAGACGGAGACCTGTTGATCATATAAACCACCGTGGATGCAGCTTCTGCCCAAAATGTTTCACCCAAACCAGTCTCACTTAAAAGACTTCTGACTTTCTCTAGGATCGTTCTATTTAACCTTTCTGCAACTCCATTCTGTTGTGGGGTATATGAACAAGTCTTATGCCTCAGAATCCCATGGGCCTTGCAATGATCATCAAATGCCTTGTTACAGTATTCTAACCCATTATCGGTCCTTAAGGCTTTAAGTTTCTTGCCACTTTGATTTTCAACAAACACCTTCCACTCCACAAACTTCCCGAATGCTTCATCTTTTGTCATGAGGAAATAGAGCCAAACCTTTCTCGAGAAATCATCCACGAAAGAAATATAATACTGGCATTTGGATAGACTCGGTGTAACATTTGGAGAGCCCCACAGGTCTGAGTGAACATATTCCAATTTGTATTTTTGAAATATGTTTACCCTTTTGATAAGACAACTTATGAGACTTACCAAGAACACAATACTCACATTGTTTTAAATCACCAACATCTTCTGATTTTAAAAGCTCTTTCTTGATCAAAACTTGTAAGCCTCTTGCACTCATATGTCCCATTCTACTATGCCATAGCATCGTCTTATCATCAGACTTGATTGCTGCATTAACCTGCTCATTTACTGGTTTTCCATCAAGAATATAGAGAGTATCCCGATAATTTCCAGCAATGACTTCTTTTTCTTTATAGAACACTTGTAACCTAAAGTTCTTAGACTGAAACCAACAGCCTTGTGATTCAAGTTGTCCTAGTGAGATCAAATTCCTCTTTGCAGTTGCTGAAAACCTCACTTTTGTTAATACAACCACTGTGTTGTTGTAGTTAACTATTTTCATACTTCCCATAGCCGTGACAACACAGTAAGTATCATTTCCCATAAGGATATTACCACCGTCAATTTCTTCAACATCAAACAACAGATCCTTTCTATATGTGAGATGATACGAGCAGCCGGAGTCAAGTACCCACCCATCCCTGGTGTGGACTTCTGAAGCAGTCAACACTATTGGTTCATCTCCAAGGGCTTGCCCAACATTCGCTTGAGAATTACTCGTTTGACCCTTCTTTGGACAATCCTTTTTGAAATGACCTTCAGCTCCACAAATCCAACAAGCCTTCTTGTTCTTAACTTTAGCTTTGCCTTTGTCTTGCTGTTTACCCTTATCATTATTCTTCTTGTCAGCCTGCGGTTTTGACTGAAGATATAAGCCTTCATTACTTGTTTTTGACAGGTAATTGCCTTTCTGCTTCAGTTCAGTCTCCAGGGAATAGGCACCTGCTGTGACTTCCTTGAGAGTTATTGTTTGTTGTCCACCTCTGTATTTAAGAGTATGAACCAGTTGAGCAAACTGTGAAGGCAAACCGTTTAGAAGTATTACGGCCTGATCTTCATCACTCAACTCGACATCTAGACTAGCCAGATCTGAGACCAATTTGTTAAAGGTATCAAGATTCTTGTCTAGATTCTTTCCCTCCTCCATTCTGAAGCTATAGAATCTCTGTTTTAGGTAGAATCTATTAGGTAGAGACTTATCTTGGTACTGTGATTCCAATGAGTCCCACATAGCCTGAGCTGTTTTGTGCTTTAAACCAACCTTTCTTAATACCATATCCGATAAGCTCATGCTTAACAGATTTCTTACCCTTCGATCCTTTTCCACTGCTTTAGGATCAGCTTTCTTGGCATCTTCATCTATATCCTTTGGATCTGGTAATGTCGATGATGACGAGTCTTCGTCAGTCTTCAACACTGAGTCAAGGCCAAGAATCTCCAGCTGAGCGAGCATTCTATGCTTCCAGATCGAGAAATCTCCATCTCCGTCAAATTTCTCAACCTCCCATTTACCATGTGTCGGCTCAACCATTTTGCTTGAACCGATCCGATCTTAAATCGCAAGCAAAAACCAACGCCGAGCAGATCAACCACAAAAGAAAACCAGATAACCACACGAACTAGGAGATGACTATATCACCACAGATCCAGACTCGGAAACCAGGTAAAAGATTCTTTACCTGCCGAGCATTACTTGATCTGAGAAAACAAAGAACTAGATCACCTTCAGGTAATCAATAAACCGCGAGAAAAACACGTCCCTTTGATGCACCAACCTTGTGCTCTGATACCACTTGTAGTGATTTCTCACTTTGATTACTTGACTTGATCGAGTTATTAGAGATCTAATCGTCTAGTGCTCTGTTTCGTGTTTCAGGTTTGTGCAGAAGATAAAAGAAAAAGAGACGAGATTTACAAGTTCCCAAGGCCTAAATACCGGCCAAGGTTCGTCTTGGAGAGCTAAACGCCATCTCTCAAAACTTTCACTATGTATGTTCCGAGTACAAGAAACCAGGAGAAAAGATACTATCGAGATTACAAGCCTTGAGCGAGATCAGCTATGGAGAAGATAAGCTTTCTCTCTCTACTCTCTCTCTAGTTCTAATTCTATCTCCTGCTTGTTACTCACACACCCGTCACACACCTGAGTAACGCCGTTATTCCTTTTTGTATCAGGTCCTCACTCTTGGCCATTTCTGTAACAAACCTTATCACCAGCTTCCGGCAGCTTTGACTTGTTGACCAACAAAAAAACGACTTACTCAGTAACTAAAAACCGGACTTTTACTGAACTCAGTATCTCGTTGGGCTTATATCCAGTTCACCAGCCCAACAAGTAAGCTTAAGCCCTATAGTCTGAAACGCATCGTTTCTTCACATATTCGATCGAAAACCTTTTAACAAAATATTGGCGACGATCAACAAAACAAAAGAATACTCCACCTATGTAAATTTCGAATTTCTTTTTTAAATACACATATGTATAAACTATAAACCCAGGTGAAACATATGGACCCATGTCCCACGTGATTGGCCCATTTTTATCTTTTGAAATTTTTGGGATATAGTGGATGATTGTATTGATTCTGCAGACTAAAGTATATACAAAATAAATAGATATTGTCCTTCAAGATCTTCTCTTACATATCTTGTCCTTAAAAAAAGCTTTGACGGTTCTTGTCATCGGATTCTGATTTTCCGATCACCGGAATCAGACATGTCACCGTCGGCTAACTTTTTCCCGACAAAGGTGTACATACCTCCATGTTTTTAGCATATACGACGTGGTCCGAATATTTACTGTCTTTTTAATTATTATGTCCTTGTCTAACTGTTACCCTTATATATTATCTATCATCTTTCCAAATACAATTGATTTCATGCTTTTTTAGACTTTTCTGTTTCCTTCATTTTTCAAAGGACATGTTCATAACATCATATATTCATATGCATACCAAGGTTATAAACTTATTCAGAAACATATAGTCGTGATAAATCAAATCAATCTAATTTTTCATACCTGAACTGCGTAATTGATGTGAACACTAAACTTGAAGATAATTAATTTAGTTAATGATGATTTTTTTGATAAATACTGAAATTGAACTCATATTGAACCAGTTTTTTAATATAAAAAAATAAGAACAATTCAAATCAAACCAAACAGTAGCAGATTGATACATTTTAGATTCATTTTTAGTTTGATAACTAAATTTCTAAATTGGGAATGAAATAAATAAATAAATAAATAAATAAACTTAAAAGATTCAATTTTTTGAACTATATCAGACCGGTTTATTAACCCAATTATTTATATTGTAAGGGAAGAGACTCGATCATAGTAAATTATACATGTCACTAGACTAATAGTTATTTTTCAAATTCGTATATACTATTTACTCTTTTTGTTTTAAGATTTGTTGTTTTATTTCAAAAGATATTTTACAAATTTCTGCACAGATTCTAATATTATTTGATACTTTTGAGTTTTGATCCTTATTTATTTTTTCACGATTAACTGGATATTTTATTTATTGATAAATGATATTTTGTTTATAAAAATAACTCTTAATCTTTACATTTTTATTTAAAATTTCTTATACTTAAAACGGATGGAATAAATTCTAACACACTTTAGTCCACAGAAATACACTAGTTAAATTTTGGTTAGTGTGTAAATCAATAAGTTAATCGTGACAATGGATCCTTAGATCTCGGGCCTTTCTACACATATTTTATTCTTTTCGTTTCTTCCTTTTTCTGGTGCGGCCAATAATATACTCGCGTCATAGGTAAAATAGTGGAAGTGTGGAAATCATAAATTTGTGCGTCGTCCACTACTTTTAGTCTAATCATTCATTTTGACAAAAACAAATGTATGTTTTTTTATTAATTATTCTCCATAGGGAACCTAATTAAATTCTCTACGTAAAATGCGTCTATGCTTATTTTATAAGTAGCTTAGCATTACATATGTGAGACTGTAATAATGTTACATACATATCTATAAAGGGTGGAATTGTATTTGCTTATGTTGTTGATGTTACATTAATAACGATGACTATGAAGACGACAGTAGTTATTATAGGAATTGATTTAAATAGTAGGTATTTTGCAAAGTTACATTACATAGTAGGCTATTTTATTAACTCAACAGTAGCCACTAAAACCAGCAAGTTGATGAACCAATTAACAAGTCATCAGTTAACGTGACATTTAAACATACCAAAAAAAAACAAAAACCGAAGAACACACCATTACCAATTTACCATCCCGCTTTCTCTTATAATCTTCACTAAAATAAAAACAATATAAATGAAATTTTTTATTTATACTCTCGTTAAATAATCAAATGAGCATACTCACACAGATATAGATGTTGGTCCACCTAGGTGATTATGTCGGGTGTTGAAATTAAGCAATCAAAATAAAATAGACATTTTGATATATTCGCATGATATGATTGAAACCTTAGTAAATACTTTCTTTAATGTATCAATATATAAACTTATCTCCTCAGTCTCTTCTCTTTTTTTTTGCTAACAGCTACTCATATATTCTCTTCTACTTTTTCAAGATCATTCTTTCTCTCTTACTTCATTATAACTATCAACCCCAAAACAATCTCACTTGTTTTTTTTTTTTTTTCATTTTCTCATCACTCATCTTAAACCAATATTCCCCTAACCATGTCCTCTAGCAATAAACCGGATCAACCTTCTTCTTCCTCCAATTCCGGCCACCACAAGCAACACCCGCTTCCGCCGCAACTTAGCCGCTATGAATCGCAGAAACGCCGCGACTGGAACACATTTCTACAATACCTCAAAACCCTAAACCCACCAGAGAAAACATCTCAATTCGACCACACGCACGTGCTAAGCTTCCTCAACTACTTAGACCAGTTCGGCAAAACCAAAGTCCATCACCAAGCTTGTGCCTTCTTCGGACAGCCCGATCCACCATCTCCTTGCACGTGTCCTCTCAAACAAGCTTGGGGAAGCTTAGATGCTTTGATCGGACGGTTAAGAGCTGCTTACGAAGAACACGGTGGTGGATCATCCGATAATAACCCGTTTGGAAACGGGTCTATCCGGATTTATTTAAGGGAAGTGAGAGAGTCTCAAGCTAAGGCTCGTGGAATCCCGTATAGAAAGAAAAAGAAAAGGAAGAAAACTAAAAACGACGTCGTGGTTGTCAAGAAAGATTTTTTAAACTCTTCGGGGTCATAATCATTAGTCCACTTGATCACTGCCCAGTCTGCCCTTATATATTTAAGGTAAACCAATTTTTAAATATCTCCTTCACTCAATAATTAGAGTCCAATCTTTACTTCGACCCGCTAGGTAAAACCCTAACTGAGAAAGGTGAATTCTAGAAGAAAAAAGTCCCTAATATGAGAAATTATTTTGCTCTCTGATCCTATGATTTTTTCACAATGCTTCCATGGTGTTTGGTAAAATTACTATGTAATAGGAGTCTAGGATCGATTAAGAATTTAAGGTAATCTTATTGAACTAGTTTGTAATATAAACTCAATATAAATTCGGAGGCTGGCTTACTTGTTTATAAATCTTTATTATAACTTTAAGCTTAATCTCCACCCAAGACATTAAATTAAGTTAGTTCCTTCATGATGAGTGTATGGAGCTTAACTTTTACTTAATTAGATATAAAGCATAATTATCCGCACGTTCCTTAATTAGGCCATGCATTGTCTACTATAGAATATGGTTTAAATAGGTTTGGTAGTTATTGGTATAATCTTTGTAGCCTTATATACGGTCAATGGATATATGTTGTCATAGTTTAATGTTTTATGACGGCAATGTAAATTACGATAATTATTCTTGAAACAAAGGTATAAGTTTTTTCTGCTAATTTAGATAAACTTAAATTCGAGGATTATTCTTAAAATTAAATCTCAATAACATCTAAAGATGGATATTTATATATATATATATATATATATATATATATATAAATCAATCTACCCTGCATGGATTATTATATTTTACTTAGATCATCCGAGAGATGGACTAATTGTTGAAATTTTTTGTTAGACTTTTCAACAACCTATGATTATTTAGTCTTGGGTTGATAAAAGATAGATTCAGATTAAACCATTTCTCATACAGATTAAGCCATCAACCTATGATTAGTTAGGTCCAGACCAGTGGCGGAGGTAGAATAAGTTTTTAGGGGGGTCAATATTGATTTTTTTTAGATAGTGAAACATATGAAATTTAACCTTGTTCACATGGGTCAGTATAAACAATTGAAATCAGATAACCCACTAAATCTAATAAATAAATACATATTTTAAAAATTTTACAAGGGTCAACTGACCCCCTTCAATGTAAACTAGCTCCGCCACTGGTCCAGACTCGGCCCATGGCAAAGGCCAATTGACGCCACTGGTCCAGACCCGGCCTATGGCAAAGGCCAAATAGTCAATGGATTAGGGCTCAAATTTTTTTTAGCATAATTTTATTATTAAAATATTATTTTTTCTTTTAACTTTTAAGAAATAAGACACATTTTTAAAAAATAGACTATGGCTTTGAATGGGGTTGGACCGGCACTGGTTAGGTCATCTTTGTTTAGAGACTATATGTTTCACTAACTTCCTAAGTCAATTAATATGAGATTATTCGTTCATTTTTTAATAATTTTTTCTTATGTACATGTTCTTTGTTCTTTTTGTTTTTTGTGCAGATATATCAAGAGTGTATCAAGATGATTAAAAAAAGGAAAAGATGGACTCGATCAGTATTGAGAGATAGCCTACCATTTTTGGAACACAGTTTTTGAGCCATGATATTAATCATGCCCCGTTATACAGTTTTAATTTGAGTCTATATTTAAACTCTTTCTAAATGTATTGATAGTAGCCCGATATCTATGTAGTACGATCTTGAAGTCTATACCCATAACCAATATACATTAATAGATACACATGTTATATACATGTCAAGAGAATATACACTCGAAGTCTCAGAACCCGGAAAAAGAAAAAGCCAAACAAAAGGGAGAAAAGTAAGATTTTAACTATCGAAAGGAACAAGAAACTAAACAATTGTTCTCAGTTCTAATTTATCTGAAAAATGTTTAAATTTCACAAAAGGGATAAAGCAAGAGTGTTCAACCCATTTTTCAAACTATAGTTTCTCTCGTGTTTACATTTATAATTAAACTTAGCTTTTCATATATATAATCTATATATGGAAGACAAACTTATTTTTGTCATTAGTTAAAATCATTCAACCATTGTACCACCATAAGTTGGTATGTTCAATTTGTTTGCTACGTTTGTAGTATCAATTTTTTGTTAAAGGTATGATTTGCATGTCTCAATTATTTCATTAGTAAAAATTTAATTTGCAGTAAAATACAAAGAAGAATACTTCTTTTTGAGGTTTTGGAGAAGAAACCTCTTGAGAGTCAGGAGATGGCGACCAAACGACTATTGCGATGAAGATAGCTCTAGTCATGAAGATTATCTGTTCTTTGGAGTCCAATAGCTAACATATCGTTTCATCCTTCATGTGGAGTATTTTTGTTGTAATTTCTATTATATTTGTTGTTTTGTATTATAGTCAGCAGTTTCTAAATTGTGCAGGAAATAAATTTTCATATTGCATTGCTTTTACTTATTGTCAAAGTAAAAGCTAAAAAAAATAGGTAGTATTTGTACCCGAATTGGAGTTTGTTTTTTCGTTACCGTTTAACAAAATATGCTGACGAAGAAAGAAAACGTATTAACGTTTTGGTTTAGCTTTAATTGGTTTTGGCAATTAGATTTGATTACCAAAATGACCCTCCTAACTTCATAAGAATAGAGTGAGATGCTTTGACCAAAAAAAGAAGAAAAGAGTGATGCTATGTTGAGCACTTGAGCTTTAAATGGATCTCTAATATGCCCATTGGGCCTATATCTAGACTTACGGTTTTAGATTACGTCCTCTCTATTTTGCATCTCTGTCTTTACCCTTTTTTATATATAAAAAAAAAAAAACTTCTCTGTCTTTTTTCTTTTTAGTTATTTCTTCTTTCTGTTACTGAAAAAAGGGTTTTTTCTTTTTCTTCTTCTTTCTATTTTTATCAACTACATTTATAATATTGTACAATATAAATGTGTGAATGATAAGTGTGTTTCGTATCAACGAAATAGAACAAACGTGGACACATTATTTGCCGCTAGTTTTACCACTTTTCATGTTCATAACCTTCCAAATTTAACCGAGACATATTTCATTACAATGACGTTACAAAGAAAAAATTGTTCATTAGTATAATTTTGTTAACAACTATAAAAATGAGCATTACTGTTTACAGCCATCCCACTGCTTGATAAAATTAATCATTACTCTGTTAAGTAATCTGTTATTATCTGTATATTACAATGTACTTTTTTTGGTTGCTACGAATATTACAATGTACTTAAACCAAATCTTCAACTTTGAATGTTTTATTAGACATTAAGAAAAAAGCTTCGTTGTCATCACGATCATAACTTGAAGAACGAAAAAAAAATATTAATATAAATTTTCGGTCTTGTTCGATAGATATTTCCCGTCTTTTGTTTTCTCCAAAAAAAGAGGATATTATTTCTCATCTTTTCTTGTCGACCTATAAGATATTTCTCATATAAATACTCACTCGTCACTTCATAAAGATTCGAAGATAATCTTATACGAGACGAAAACATTTCAAAAGTTTAAAATCGTGAAAAATAAAAAAAAAAAACAAAAAAAAAACAAATGAAAACATTTCAACCACATCATCGTTGCTGTTCAACACTGGTACAAACCATTGATGCTCCATTGCCTCTCGTGTGGTCAATATTACGTCGTTTTGACAATCCACAAGCATATAAACAGTTTGTGAAGACGTGTGATCTAAGCTCCGGCGACGGAGGAGAAGGCTCCGTCCGTGATGTAACGGTGGTTTCGGGTCTTCCGGCGGCTTACAGCGTCGAGAGGTTAGATGAGCTTGACGATGAGTCTCATGTGATGGTGATTAGCATTATTGGCGGTGACCACCGTCTCATTAATTATCGGTCAAAAACGACAGCGTTTGTGGCGGCGGCGGAGGAGGAGAAGACGGTGGTGGTTGAGAGTTATGTAGTGGATGTGCCGGAAGGAAACAGTGAGGAAGAAACGATGTCGTTTGCTAATACAATCGTTGGGTTTAATCTTAAGTCATTGGCTAAGCTCTCGGAGAAAATGATGGCTAACAAAAAGTTGTAATATTTATATTTTAAAAATCGTTAGAGTATAGGTCGTAAAAAAAATAAATCAAAAATCGTTATATTAATTATAGTTTACAAGAATTAAAAAAGTCTTAAGTAGGGTTTAGAACTTTAGATATCATTAGCAACAATAAGCAATATTAGACCCAAAAAAAGAAAAGAAAAAAAAACAATCAAGCAATAGCCAATATCCGACGGGAAATAAAGTGCGTGTTTGAATAATTATATGTCTTTGTGAGATACAATTGAATATAAGATTATGATAAGGTTAAAAAAAATTATGATTAATGTGTTAAGTAAATTCTTTTTTCTTTCTCTGTAATGTTGTTCACGTTGAAAAGTTCGATCCTGAATTCATTTAGATAAGAATTCGGAATTATACATTTAAATATATTCTATACTTCAACCTTGACCACACAAAATATCTATACAAATATACAATTTCTTATAAATGATGTGTTCTTTACATCTTTAAGATATCTTCTCAATCTGTCTGACAGTATATCAACATGCAATACAGTTGTTTATGTTGATAATGTCGTCGCGCCATTATCTAAACTTAAACTTATGTAATGTATATTATTGACGGAAAATTTCATCACCGTTAGTTTTTATTTATACTACCGAGTACCGACATCTAATCTAATATAACATAGGAAGTCGAATATTAAAATGTGACGTTTATTTGGCGTCACGCGACGGAGCAATGGGCTTTATTATATTTTGTTATCGTCGTGGGCCTTCTTTATATTTCGTCCGCGCTTTTATTTCTGTTTTTCATTCTGCTTGCACTCAAATTTGTGTAATCTTACCATTTGTATCAAAATAAAAAGTTACAAATACAAGAATGTTATGAAAGAAATACATTAATAAACTGTCGAGGAAAAGAAAAAAGAAAAATAAAAAAGTGAAACAAAATTGGGTGCGGAAAGAATTAGATTTTGGTGGGCCAGAGTTTTTTATTATGTGTGGACAATGTTTCTTCCACGATATACAATTGCCACGTGAAATATAGTAATAATAATACTCTGTCCTTTTCACTCCGCAAATTTTAGGTTATTTCTGACCCAAAGGACAAAACATAGGGTTCTGCTTAACATTGAATATCTATTACAGTATTACATGGTGGTTTTTTCTTTCTTTGTTTTCTTGGTCAAAAATTTTTTACCAATCAACTAACACTAAAATAAAATTTGATTTTTAAGCGATTATTATTACTATATTTTTGTATGTCGATAAACTATATACAGAGCCGTGCCCAGAGATATGAGGCCCGTAAGCGAACTAAAAAAAAACTATCATCGTCGCAAACCCATATCATATTGAATAAATAATAACTATCATCGTCTCAATTCATATAAAACAATAATAAAAATCATAATCCTAAAAAAAAAATATAGATAACAAAATTTAAAAAATAATTTTTCAAAGATAATATATTTCTTTAACTAACTCCCTTTCGATAAATAAGATAATCAAGTCACTTAATATCTTCTGTGACACACTAAATCTCATTTTTTCTAAGGTAAAAAAAAGGATTTAGACTATCGTTCTGATAATAATGTATTATGAATAATGAGATGAAATTATAGAGAATTATATATAATATTACAAAGAAGTATATATTTTACTGTGAGATTTAAAAAAAAAGTTAAAAAAGTATTGTATATGTTAATAAGCGGCCAACTAAATTATCATTAGTTCATTACTCTAATTTTGTATTAGTTAAAAATTAGGTCCAATATTTAACTAAAATCTATTGCTGCTACCTATGCTAGTACTACTAATCTTGGGCCTTCGATTTCTTTTGTAAAAGTTGGACCCGTAGGCCAATGCCTCTTATTGACTAACATAGGGACGGACCTGACTATATAGAGCCTTTCCTTAACTAATTAGTTTTTGTGTTGAGAATTTTGTAGTAGATGGCAATCGTAAAGTTGTTGTGGTATTTAGAAGATATATATATATATATATATATATATATATATATATATTTTTTGTAACCAGAAGAAGAGATATTTTTGTTAACAATCAAAATGAACCAAAACCTGTTTTACACCGACTGAACTGACTTGAAAATGTTGACTGTTAAGAAAACGACATTTAAGAGTCCATAAGAAAGAAAAAAACAAGACCGAAAAAAGGAAATATAACCGCAAGTCCGCAATATAGACATACGTCAAATTCACCAAAAAAAAACAAAAACTATCTACCCTATATAGTTTATACCAAAGTTGTACATTTCAAACATTCTATAATCTCTGTCCATTTTTATTTTTTTTTGTTCAAATTATTTTATACTCCACAATTTGAAATTTCATAAACATATAGACTATCCTTTTCCAATTTCATTCTTCTTTTAAAAATAATCTATTAAAACGTTCGTCCTTTTTTGTCACAAGAAACAAAAATGCGGGTGGTGAAATCAATGAACATTTACAGACACTTTTAAAGAGTTTGGTAGTTAGTAAATGACAATATTAATATGTTTGCTATCCCCTTCACCTTGTTTCGATGCATAAGGTCCACATTATTGACTACGAGAAGGTACGCCCGCTTCTTTTGGAAATTGCTTGAGAAAGCATAAATTATTCTTTTCTTTTTTTTGAACCTTAAAAAAGCATAAATTATTGATGATTGTTTTTTTTTTGTTGTTGCTAATATTCATCTTAAATAAACAGACCATAAAATACTGTTTTTCTTGTACTTAACCTTTTTTCAGCCTATGAGAGGTGTAGTAAAACAATGTCTAAGAAATATAATTAAAAATTATGTTAAAAAAGGCAAAAATTTTAAAAATACATAAATGTTTAGTGAGAGAATGATAAGTGTTGAGAGAAAATAGTTACAAAATACATAAATATTGAAATGGAGCATCATAATTGACAATATTAAATTACCATTAGCTCATAATTAATTATAGAAAAATGTTTAGTGAGAGAAAATAATACATTTATAGCAACATATTGATTGTTTCTAATTTGTGTGAAAACAACAAAAAAAACACATTCTGTTAGAAATTAAAGAATATTAGAAAACAAAAAAGAATTGAAATATTGGCCACACAAAAAAAAATCAAAATAATGATTTGACATGATTTAAGATGAATAAATTATAGTATGGTGTGACATTGTGCTATGGGGCTAAAACAATCATCAAAAACGTTGAGTGGCTCCGAAAATGACAAGAGCATGTGTTACACTACTTATGATTTATGAATTGGTCTATCTAATCAAGACTGAAAACGAATATAACTATTACTCACGTTCTGGCGGATTATTACGTTACAGACAAAAAAAAAATCGTTTTTTTTTTTTGGAATATGATCAACAATGTCGTTTTCTATAAAACGAAACTTCATTTCCAAAGTGGTTTCAAATTTCCATTAATAAGAAATTAACACTCCTAATGTCTTATTATAGATATTTAGTTAGAAGATAAACATTAATATTCGTCAACTGATGGAGTTGTTCAAGAGAATCACAACCACATAATAACCCAACAACAAAAGTCGAGTTGATTCTATAGCAGGCAGGGCTGAAATTATTATCCGGTATCCGCTATCCGATCCGGAATTCGGTCTTATCTGATCCGTAAAAACCGGATATCCGTGTAGTTCGGATCCGGATTCGGATAGTGAAAATATTCGGTTATTTCAGATACGGATCCAGATAATAGAAAATTTTGAAATCGGATATCCGTTATCCGTTATCCGTATATTAAGATTATGAAAATTTTGAAATCTTTGGATATGCATTTAATTTTTTGTTTTAATTATGTTTGAAAATTGTTTTGGTTTAACTCTTTTACACATGATTGAAATTTATATTGCATGATAATTTTCTATTTTAGTTTGTGAGAGAAGAACATGAAAATAGATAACACAAAGATATGAAGATAAATTAACTTCTCTATTACTATTTTTTCTTTTTCTATTTTAATTTTTAATTTTTGTGATATTTGAATGTTATTTGAATGCTTTTAAATTTTTGGTATTTGTAATTTTTGCTATGATGATATATTTTAATTATATATGTTATTTCATTATAATTTTAAAAATTGAAGATTTTTTTAAATCAACGAAACCGGATATCCGGTCAGATATCTATAAATATTCGGTTCAAACCGGATATTCGGTCTCTGGATATCCGGAGTTTTCGGATCCAGATCCGAATAGTAAAATTGATTATCCGTCAAATCCGAAGCTAGATCTAAAACCTGGAAAAATCCAGATATCCGACTCCGTTCGAGTCCTAATAGCATGTCACCATTTTGGCTTTTTCCAAACAAGTAACAATTTTTATTTTGAATGCTCGAACACCTTTAAGCTGCGAATAAATTAAGTATGAGAATTGTAATCAGTACTGTATCGGTTATATACTGATCAGTTTTGTATATAGCTAGTGCAAATCAATTCAGCGTATTGTTTAATTACTGTGAACTTTGTATGAAACTAGAAGGTTTTTTAAAGGCATGAAATAAAATGTATGATAAAAATGGGTAAAATATTGCAGCTTAGATTTACATTGGAAGTTTATATGTATTTGTAGATTAAATTGTTTAGTGTAATTTTGTGTGTCAATCCTACTTCAGAAGTTGAGATGATACATAGTAATAAATACATTGGTTGTTGGCCTATGAGTGACATACGCTATTTTAAATATTATCAATTGGTTTTTAACTGAAATTTTCATGAAATTTAATATGATATTGGGTTCCAAAATTGTTGTTTTGGCCTATGAGTGACCCGTATAAAGCTAATGGCCAGTCTTAGAGTAAAATTAGATTAGATATGAAATACTATATTGTGTATTGTTCATTACAATTTTGTCTCTGTTAAAGTATGGTGTATGGCTTTGTGTGTACGGTATACAATAAGATTATATAAAGGAAAAATCGTTATATCAACAAAAAAGTAATTCATTTTTCTAATAATTTTAGAAAGAAAAACTAAGAAAACTATTTAAAAAGTGACTATTTGCAATCTATTTATTGTTAATTGGTTTTGCATCGAAAACCTAAAACTTAAACAAGATATTCGAAACCAAAGTTATTGATCATGACTACTAGTGAATGGTCTGAATAGGGTTTGTTGACCGTGATCCACGAGTGATAGGGATACGGTTTGAAAGAAATATGTCGTATTTACGACGGCAAAATATGAAAATATAAATCTCAAAAACCCTGTTAGAAGTCTCTGTCAAACCAAAAATTAGTGTCAGTCAATACAAAGAAAAAGAAGAAATAAGTGTCAGTCAATAACCAAAAAATATTAAAAAATACGTGTCAGTCAATACAATAAGTGTGCTAAATAACTTTGTCACACCAATATGTCCGACAAAGAAAATAAATTTGGTGCATCAGATGATGCACATACTAATATATAACCATCATTGTTTATTATTTATATCATCTTACCAAAAAAATGTATTCCCTCTGTTTCATTATAATTGATTTTCTAGATTTTTTTTCTTGTTTCATAATATTTGATTTCCTACATCTAATTAATGCATGTTTCTTCTTTAAATTGAATGAATAATATTAATGAAGAAAAAGTAATAATAAAAATAATAAAATCAGTTGTAAAAGTAATTTAATTAACAAAAATAAACAATTGAGCATTTATAGCTTTCTTAATCTATATGTAAATATTCAGAAAATTAACTATAATAAAACAGAGGGAGTATATCATTTACCTCAAAGTGTCACCAATTGAGATACTTATTAATTGACTACATCCTAGTCCGCTCATCTGAACTAGAGCCTTCATTCTCGGCCCATTTAATTTCAAAAAAATATTTCGTTAAAAAAAGATAGTGGTATTTTTCTTATAATATATGTAGAGCAGAAAAGAACAATACCTCTCTTGATTCTTTTTCTCTATATTTCTTTCTTGATGATGCTTGAGAGTTCTTTAGGGGCTATTTTTTTTTTTGTTAAAGAGAGTTCTTTAAAGTTTTTTTATTTGTGTGTGAAGCAACAATGGAGGAGAAGAAACTGAATTTAGATGCACCATTCCTATCCGTGAGGCGAATTCCAACTAAACCAGAGATATCAAGCGAATCAGAGAACACCAAGAAGACAACGACGACGAGAAGGAGAAAAGTCAAAGATTCGTGTAAAGAAACAGAGCATGAAACTCTGGTTCGGTTATTACAAGATGACCAGAGCTTCGATCATGTAATGGAACCATCTCTAGTTCCATTTCTGTGGGAACAAATACCTGGAAAGCCAAAGGATCATCATACACTAATCGAAGAATCAGACCTAATCAAAGCTTTGGAAATGGTTTCTTCAACCGCAAGCTTCTCTGTTAATTGTAGTATTGATGGAGTAAGTGATGAGTTGGAGAAGAATGATGACAGATCGAGCAATGTATCAAGAGATGATGTCATTCTTGAATATCGTGATCTCATCATGTCGAGATTTTTACCAGCCGCGCAAGCAATTGCCTTGAAACAGAAGAAAGAATCTTCTCTAGACCAAGAAGAGATAAGGAAGAAGAAGAAGAAACGGAGCATTACTTTACAGAGAGTCTCCATGGCCATAAATCAAGGTTTAAACAATGATGAATATGATCATAATCATGTTGATGGTGTTAACAAAACAGATTACTCAGATGATTCCAAGACAGGTATGTTTGGGTTCTTGCCACGTTTCTGTTCCAAGAGCTCATTGGATGTACTTAACCCGGTTCTTTCTCGGGTCAAGACTTGTCAGAATCTTGCGGTAAAACCGGGTAAAATCATAAACCCGAAATCTCAAGATTCTTTTTATAAAACCAAATCAGCATCACCAAGAATCTTGAGATCGAACAAGATTGTGAGTCAGTCTCAAGAATTCTTTCCAATACCAAGATTTTCAACAGAGCTTTCCAAAACTTCTAAATCGAAATCCGGGGAAATTATTCGAATCCAGAGAAATACTTCGAGGTTGCAAAGAACATCGAGCGATCAGATTCAGAGACAAGACACGAGGTTTCTTGTGGAGGAAGTAAAGAGAATGAGGAACAGAAACAAAACAGGTCAGAGAATCTCTCTGTTTCTCAACCTCCTTTGCCTAAAACTCCTTCAGAGTCGTGGCTTTGCCGGACACTTCCCAGAAGCTCGGCTCTCCTCGTTGTCTCCGTCGTCATCTCCGGTCAAACCCGCTGGTTCAAGAAGATGGAGCAAAAGAGTAATTCTCAGTCTTTAAAATGGGAGACCATTGTTAAAACATCGTATAAACACCATGACCATGCACGCTACTCAGAGGTATGTATGGATTTTTTCAAGATTTTTAACATTTTTTTGTATTTTGTATATATTTGTTGATTTTGATTTTTCATTTTGCATGTTTTGGATTGTGTGCAATGTGCAGGAGCTTCATCCCTCTCACCAGCACAAACCATAAACCGGAATCTTCCTTCACCTAGATCGAGATTCCTTTTTCCGGTACAGTAAAATTAAATGCTATTTTATTTAATTCTCCGATTTGTTAAGTACGATTGTGTTTAAAATTTGTTCATGAGATAATGATGTCCAATAAAATCCCAATTCCGTGTCGGATCGGATTGGGTTGGGTTGGAAATAGCCATTATTTCCAACAATATCAACATCAAGTATCGTTTTCATTATCAATGGAATTGTGTTTGATTCAAACTTTAGAATACGAATTGTATTCATACAAACATTTGGAATGAATTGTCTTTAAATGAAAAATTTCATAATATAGTTTTATTGATTATAATGTTACCAATTGTCGTTTAGAATCTTTGGTTTATTCAACTAGCGATTTAATAAAGCACCAAGAGTCTTTTGTTATTGAAATGAATTGTTTCAAGTACTAAATTTCTTTATGAATTTAATCAATACTAGTGTTTTAGAATGATTTTTGTTGTTGCTAGTCATACGACGGTACAAAGATTTAGAGTCATAGGTTTAATTAGGAGTATTCAATACGGATTAAAAACTGATCTCATTTGAATTTGAACCGAAAAATTCACAACCAAAACCACACTGTTGACAATCTGTCATCTGTCTATCTAACTGCTAATCCGATTCTGTATTTTTGGGTAGCACATGGCACCATGGTTATGACTTATGACGAACATTGCTGCATCACTACATTTGGCCAATATCTTCACCAAATCTTTAGGACAGCAACTCTTCTTTGATCTCTGATTCAAACTTGGCGTTGAGTTAACTTGCCACACACACCAAGTTTGAGGGTGTGTATCAAAACCTAACGATTCATTCAACTAAATCCAAGTGTTTGGAATTCAACAGTAAAAGCACAAATAGGTCATTGACAAAACAAGCCCACTTTCGAAAACAAAAGAGGAGTTGGGTCTCTGCAAAACCTACAAGCCCACTCCACTCTACATACCGTATATGAATCTGTTGTAATCATAAGGATTGAGAGAAATAGAATCTAAAAGTTATTCTTCTGCGTTTATCTTCAAGCTTTCTTAAATCTTTCACTTATAACTTCATACAAAATCATCAAAATCATCTACAGTTCATCGTTATTCAAATGTTTGATTATGGTTAGCATGCGGTAGTGCCTATCAACATTTGTGTGAATTGATTTTATGTATATTCACTTTTGACTTAAGACGTATGATGTCAAGTCGGCTCGTAAACAGATGTTTCATTGGGTTAGGGAATTATGAATAATTTGGGGCTCTTTTGAGGTTTTGGCCCAACTAAAAGTAAATCAAATCAGAGCGGATTTTTGTATAAGCATCATAATCACTTGGCGATTCCAATTAATAACCCAAATATTCAATGTTTTTTAATAAAACTGAAGAATGTACCTAGAAAATAGTTAAGGTTGACTTGGAAAAAAAAAATTATTAATTTAATCGAAAACTAAAAGTAGTGGGTGGCATGTACTACAGACTAACATCAGTCCAAAAAATTAATTCCATGTAACTGCGTTCATTATATACGCCACGTCACTAAACGCTTGAACCGTTGATTGTTAATGACCCAGATTATCAATCTCATTATATCCTATGAGCAGCTGGCACGTAGGTCAAAGTCAACTCAACCTTCGATTATATTAAAAGGAAAATAAAAAGCATAAAAGAGGGTAAAATACAATTTTAAGATAGTAGGACCCACAAGAACCACATCAGATCTTAACTAATTTTTATTTATTAATCTCTCCCGCCATATATATGTTCGGTACGTTTCTTGATCAACGGGAGGAATAAATAAAGACAGCAGCTGGATTGATTTTTTCGTAAGTCATTTTAAATTTAGAAGAATATGATTTCATAGTGTGGAATTCTGTAATAGTTGTATTTATGCGTGTATACACATTTGTATAATTATGGAAAACCTAAAGCAAGTTAATAGGGTCTTACATTGATTGAGAATTTTCAAGAAAATAAAAAACAGAGACAGTTTTGTGGGGGAAAATTGTTAAAAAAGAATTAAAAAATAGGAAAAAGATTCGCAAAGAGAGAGAAGAAGAAAAAGGAAAGAGAGAGGAAGGAGAGAGAACTCACCACCCTTTGGCCCTGGAGAGACCAAAGATGGTCGAAGAGAGAAAACTCTGAGATCATCATCATCATCATCGTCCTGCAAAAAAAAGGGCAAGTTCAAGAAGAAATCAGAAAATATAATTTCATATTCATTAAATAAAATTCTGCCTTTTTAGTATTTTTTAAAGAAAAATCATTTTCGCTTTCTGGGGATATTTTTTAATTTTTGATTTCTCAAACCCTACCCCAATTCTTGGTTAAGAAGTTTCTTCTTTAAGGTAATTTTTTCCGGGTTATTAATTTGCAGTGTTCTGCATTTGCAAGAGAAAATATTGATTTTTTTTTTGTGGGTTCCATGTTTCTTTATTCACATTGCCTCTTCAAGGGGTTATTCTTATTCCCTTTTCTTAATTACTTTCTTAAAAATATTTATTAGCTAAAGTTTTGATTTTTTTTTTTGTTTGTTTGTTTCTTGTTGGCTTGTTTTCAGGTGATTAACGAGAGAAGAAGAGAATTCACGAGTTGTTGACTCTTAGGAATTTATTTTTGTTTTTATGATTAGGGTTTTGTGCAATTAATTTTGCAAACAATGAGAGACCCTGATTACTAAATCACCACATCGTCGTTCTCCTCTTGCCGAGGATTCTGTAAAGTTTGGGATTTTTTTTTTCTTTTTTTTTTCTTATTTGTCCATTAGAAAAAAAAATCTGGCGATTTTGTATAGCATTGGTGTATACCTAAAATGGGTTGTCGATGGAATCCAATTGGATTTCAATTCTCTTGCTTCATGTTCTTGATCATTACCCTTCAATCTCGTTCCTCATTATCCCTCAATTCCGAAGGTGATAACAACTCTTGTCAAAAAAAAAAAAAAAAAAAAACTCTCTCTCGTCAATCATTTTTCTACAGTTTTTTCTTCTTTTGAAAGGTTTTGATTGAAGGGTTTTTTTGAATGTTGTAGGATTTGTATTGTTGAAATTCCGGGCAAGAGTTGATTCTGATCCTCATGGAACTCTTGCAAATTGGAATGTCTCTGATGATCATTTGTGTTCTTGGTTTGGTGTAACGTGTGTCGACAATAAAGTTCAGATGCTGTAAGTTCTTTTTTTTTTTCCTTAATTTAATTTATTTGTTATTCTTGTTCCAATTTCTGATGAATTTTTTTTTTTTTTTTTTGTAGGAATCTTAGTGGCTGTTCTTTGGGAGGAACTTTAGCTCCTGAGCTTAGTCAATTGAGTGAATTAAGATCTCTGTAAGAGTTATCTTCTTGCTCTGTTTCTTGAAATAACAAGAACCTATTAAAACAATTCTTGTTTTTTTTTGTAGAATACTATCCAAGAACAATCTCTCTGGCGATATTCCAAATGAATTTGGGACTTTTCCGAGTTTAGAGTTCTTGGATTTACGTGATAATAAGTTAACCGGAGTAGTTCCTCCTGAGCTAAACAAAGTGTTGTCACCAGAGAACTTGTAAGTTAAAAAGGCTTGTGATTCTTTTTTGAGTTAAACCAAATCAATATGTTGACAATAAAGGTTTTGGCTTTTTTTTTGTGGATTCAGGTTGCTTTCTGGTAACAAATTTGCCGGTTTTATGAAGATAAAGTTCTTGAGACTTCAATCGCTGTATAAAGTCCAGTTGAACAAGCATCGAGAGCTGTCTTCTGCTTCCAATGCTGTCTTCGACTGTGTAAATAGAAAACTTGGATACTGGTAAAACCAAAATTTAAACCCTTTTTTTGTTCCACAAAAAATTAAACCTTTTTGCCTAAGATATGTTAAGATGGAGAAATCTTTGAAACAATGTGACAGTGTTTCAAGGAGAAGCTTGATAAGGCTAAACAAAGCAGAAGCTTTCGTCTTACGGATTAAAGCAACTACAAGACAGTACATGCAAGCATTTCTTGTCCAAAATATAACTTCGTTTGTTTTGTATTTTCTATCCTCAATGTTACTGATTTTCTATGTTTATGTCTCTTCAGGGTGCAGAGAGAATCTCAAGGGAAGAATTATGCTGCAAATCACTCAAGTAATTAGCCAAACTATGACTGAACCTTTCTGTAAAGTAATCAAACAGAAACTAAATTGTCTTCTTGCAGTTTCTTTCAAGAACGAAACTAGTATCTTCAAAAGGCGTGAGTTACTCGAAGGAACAAGTAATTTAGCGGCTATGCCTGCGCCTAATGCTACTAGTTCTTCTCCAGAGGTTATAACCAAAGTGCTTCCTCGAAGCAGCGGGTCTTTTCCCGCGTTAGCTACTGCAAAGAAGAGAAAACCTCCATTGATCCCTCCTTCTTCTCCTCCTCCAACCGCTGAGAACAACAACACAATCTCTGATCCTCCGAGGAAATTCGAAGAAAAATCAAAAGGGTTTAAAGATGTTTGGTGTTATGTTGTTATAGGCGTTGCTGCTTTTGTAGCGATGCTGATAATAATAGCGGTTATATTCTTCTTCCGGAAAAGAGCTGTGAAGAGTATAGGTCCATGGAAAACTGGTTTGAGTGGACAGTTGCAGAAAGCTTTTGTTACCGGTAAAAGAAAATTATTGTTGTTAGAAACCGGTAAAACACAAACTCGTTTTCGGTTTTAACATAACTTTACAATGTTTTTCAGGTGTACCGAAGCTAAACCGGTCCGAATTAGAAACAGCTTGTGAAGATTTCAGTAATATCATTGAAGCATTTGATGGTTACACTGTCTATAAAGGAACTTTGTCAAGTGGCGTTGAGATCGCTGTTGCTTCAACCGCTATTTTGGAAACTAAAGAATGGACAAGAGCTATGGAAATGACTTACCGCAGAAAGGTAACTTTAAGAATAATTTCTTTTGCATTTTTCCGAGAATCTTGATTGATTTTTGGAGAGCTCTAATTTTGCAGATTGATACAATGTCAAGAGTGAACCATAAGAACTTTGTGAATCTAATTGGATACTGCGAAGAAGATGAACCATTTAATAGGATGATGGTTTTCGAGTATGCTCCAAATGGAACTCTTTTCGAACATTTGCATGGTACTAAAAATCTTATGTTTTCTTCACATCAAGATCTTGTTAGCTTATTATTGTCATCGACCAATCTTCATCTTCTTGTTCAGATAAGGAAATGGAGCATCTTGATTGGAGCGCGAGGATGAGGATTATAATGGGAACTGCTTATTGTCTGCAATATATGCACGAGCTTAATCCGCCGATCGCCCACTCTAAACTTGTCTCATCAGGAATCTACTTAACCGATGATTACGCAGCAAAGGTTCTTGATTTCTTGCTTAACAAGAAAACTATTTCACTGGTTCTTGATTTCTTGCTTAACAAAACTCTTTCGCTGGCTCTTGATTACTTGCGTAACGGGAAATCTATTACAACAGTGTTATTGACTCATTATCAATTCCCACTTATGGATATTGTTTTTTTTTTTTTTTTTTTTGCAGGTAGGAGAGGTTCCTTTCAGCTCACAAGCCGGACTTAAACCGAGAAAACCTATGAGTGGTGATTTAGACCAATCTTCACTGGCATTCCCACCTGAACCAGAGACTAATGTATATAGCTTTGGAGTATTAATGCTTGAGATAATCTCTGGAAAGCTCTCAGATTCAGATGAAGAAGGATCAATTATAAAATGGGTAAAACTCAAAAATCAAAATCAAATCATTTTTTCTGAAATTTACCTTACTAATGTAAACTAGTGTAACACTTGTGTTTTCTCACAGGCATCAAAATATCTGGAGAGTGATAGTTTGGGAGAGATGATAGATCCTACATTGAAAACGTTTAAAGAAGAGGACCTTGAAGTGATATGTGACGTGGCACGACATTGTCTAAGAATTGATCAAAGTCAACGACCAACAATGAAAGATGTGGTTGAACAATTGAAAGAAGTAATCAACATTTCTCCGGAACAAGCTACACCGAGACTCTCTCCTCTTTGGTGGGCAGAGCTTGAGATCTTATCCTCTGAAGCTACCTAACCAGAAGAACGATTCTCTCTCCCCCTCCTCTCTCTCTCTCCCCTCCTCTTCGAGCTGTCACACGTGTCAGAGGTTTACACTCTCGAGATCTTTCTCTTCACGGTAAACGTCGTGTCTTAAATGTTAAAAAGTTGTTCTTTTCTTTAATTTTTCATATTAAATTTGTTTCTTGGTTGGTTTTGATAGTGTATTTGGAACCAGATAATATAACGATGTGTTTGTATAATTGTATACTATCATACATATGCCTATAACGTATATTTGTACGTATTTTGTGGTGAAAGTTGTTTGTAACTATTAATTTCGGTTTCTTAAACCATTATGTGATATTTTCTTGTTTGTATGTCTATTTTTCTCTTCTTTATTTTGTCATGGCAAAATGAAATTAGATAAGATTATATGTACAGCTTTGTAGTGTAATTAACTTGCTTTTCTATATGATTGATCTTGTTCAGTTTTGGATCGGCAAAGCGTTAACGTATTATATTTGTGTTTATTGTATTATTAAAAATTATTAACTGAAACATTACATACATATTTAATTAAATAAAAAGTATTTAGTAAATACAGTTTAAATATTGTTTGCAATTAATTAAAGTAAACATGTAATTTTAATATCTAGTGGATGATATAGACTTTTACTACTAAAAGTAATATTTTAACGTGAATATTGTCACCGAATAATCTATTTACTAAATTTTTTATTAAGTCAAAGTATAATATTTATAATACTATTCGGAGGATAAAATACTATTCTGAAAATTACCATTTCGTTCAAAATTTTTTTATTAAGTCAAAATGATTAGGTAATTTTTTTTTGAACGAAATGGGATTTTGATTTAGACTAATAAAATATTTTTTAATAAATAAGAATCATTGGTCCATTATTATATTTTTTAGAATTTTGAATTCATTGTATTTTAGTTTTAGTATTTTGATGTTGGATAAATATTTTGATTTTTTTTTTGTAAAGCGCCAATTTTAAAACCTTTTTACGGGACACGGAGTCGAAGGTCGGTACCTACCACCGGATTAATGTGATAGTGTCGGCGACATTCACTTGATTATCTTTGATAATACCCAATAATAATAAGAATAATAATAATAATACCCATAATGAAAAGATTAGTCAATCTTTTTTTAACTTATTAGTCAGATCATATGTTCATAACCTGAGCCTACGGGTGCAGATAGAAAACGACAAGCGTGAGGTACTCTTGTTTCAAGCACATTACACGAAAAACTGAAAAAGAGACACGCATGGCACGTGTCTAAATTTCCCGTACGTGTCTATATTCACTGCTATGAATAGAACCAATCATCGTTCAAAATGATATTAATCTTCGATTTTTTGCATTATTTTGTCTTCATTTCGAAAATGAAACCCCTCCTTCAAATTTCTATTTTACTATGCCGCTTTGATTTGATGCATGTGAATATTTTTCTTTATAATATGATACTTAATTAATATAAATTTTTATTTTTTCAAATTATTTTTTTATTTGAAAGCTGCTACTTAATTAATATAAAGTTTTCTTACAAATTTTTCTGTACTAAAAGACAAATTAAAATCAAGTATGATTCAAATACATAAGTTAATTTCCAATAGTTTTCTTGGAGAAGAGGATTCGTTTCCAAGATATTCACATTCTACACCTCTTCCTTTGACTCTGATCCCCAAAATTGTTAAAATAATGCGATTCTTGTTTTAATTGATTAAAAACCATATACGAGATCATAACAATTAATCTGACTTTACAGAACAAAACAAAAACAATTAATATGAAGTACCCTATGCCAGATAAAATTATTTCATACAATCCATTCTATAGTAATTATTATAAGTTCTTATTGGTGAATATTCTCCAAATTTTAAAATTATATGTAAACGATACACTACACGTGCTAAATCCTCTCTAAAGAGGTAAAGTTGCCACATGTAACATTTGACACCATAAATTCTTCTGATTCCTGAATTTGCATCATATCTTCTAGCGTAAGAATTAAATTAAATTTAGAACGTAGAAGAACCATACTGTATTGTTTTATCCTAATAATATCTATTCATGTTTTAACCCTTTCTCAACAAAATATCTATTCATGTAAATCTTGTTTTTTGTTTCTTTTCGGGTCAATGTGATATTTTTTTTCTTACATATTTTCTTCATAAATAGAGTGAATGTGTCGGCTTCCGTTACTTTGATGAAGGGTTTTCACTTTTCTTTTTCCCGATAACAAAGAATATGCAACCAAATTTACACAAAAATAATTGCAAATTAACGGTTTTCGTAACGACAAGTCGCATTCTCTATTAGTCCTACACGTACTGCATGCATTATTTTTTCTCTCTTCCCCGCAAAGCACGTATTATCTTCCAATACCCAATACTAATATTCTCGTTAATATATAAAGGTGTCCAAATAAACCTTCTTTGTCCAAGTTCATCAGTTTCTTTTTTCGGTACCCGATTCGACGTTTTTATCCAATTATATTATATTGTACAATGGTTCTGGTGCATTATTTTTGCCTATATATATACCGGACGAAATGGAAACAAACATACAGAAAACAAAAACACATAGACACCTAAAAAAAATGGAGAATAATAAAGCGAAGAACATTGAACAAGCTCAAGAGAGTTGTTATCAAGAGTGGATGGGTTTACAATCCAGACGCATCCCTGAGATAAAACAAGCCTTGTCTCAACGACGGTCTCACGATGGCGCCGCCGAGGCTAACGCCGACGACAAACTCCGTGATTTAACAAAAATGATCATCGGAGATTTCAGATACTACGCCGAGAAACGAGCTAATCTTTCTCACCGATGTAGCTCGAACTATTATGCGCCGTCGTGGAACACTCCGCTAGAGAACGCTCTGATTTGGATGGGTGGTTGTAGACCTTCTTCTTTCTTTAGGCTCGTTTATGCTTTGTGTGGCTCCCAAACCGAGTTCCGTGTCACCCAGTTTCTCCGCAACATCGACGGTTACGATTATTCTGGTAAGTGTTTTTTGGACATATCTCGGTTTTTTAGAATCTTTGAATCAAAACAAACAACTGAAATGCTTCGGTTCGGTTTTGAGAATCTTTAAAATGAAACTAACGACGTTCGGTTTATTTTGTTTGGTTTGTTTTGGTTCGATTTATACGCTATAAAAACAGTTCGGTTTAAATTTAATAGTTTAGTTTGGGTTCTATTTGTTTTTTAAAAAAAAGAATAAAATTTCATATATAAAACCTTGGTTTGGTTTCAATTTAAGAATTTGGTTCCGGTTTTATAATCATGTTCATCTCATTATATAAAAATAGTTGGTTAGTTTAGTTTTTTTTCTTTTTTAAGACATAAAAATGATGTAAACCAATAGATTTTTAATACGTATAACTTTGGTTTTGGTTTGATTTGGTTTAAGAAATTTTAATTCAATTTGGTTTGGTACGATAGATGGCAGTGGCGCATCACTTAGCGATCTAACGGCGGAGCAACTAGCGAAGATCAACGTGTTGCATGTGAAAGTCATAGATGACGAAGAGAAGATGACCAAGAAAGTCTCGAGCCTGCAAGAGGATGCGGCGGATATTCCCATCGCCACCGCGGCTTACGCGGAGGAGCATGTCGGAGAACCTAACGCGGCGGTAGATCAAGCTCTCGACAAGCAAGAAGAAGCTCTGGCCAGTTTATTGGCCGAGGCCGATAATCTGAGGGTAGATACTTTAGCCAAGATCATCGAGATTCTGACGCCGGTACAAGCGGCGGATTTCATGCTCGCGGGGAAAAAGCTTCATCTTTCCATGCATGAGTGGGGAACAATGAGAGATCGCCGCCGTCGTGAATGTATAATAAATGATGCCGGAGATGATGCCGGAGGAGAGGGGGGGAAGTGAGTCGATATAATAGTAGAGAGAGAGATGATATCATAGGTACGTACGTGTGTCATATATGAAATTGCGTAATAACAAGATTTATAATCTTGGTATTATAACGTTTTAATTTTATGACATATACAGGCTTTATTATCTAGGGTTTGATACAAGTTTAGGGATATGTAACCCTTATATAGGTTAATTTTATTTTCCGGAGACTTGTCTGAGCGGTGTGCAACGCGTTTGAACTATATTACTAAAATAAATATTCTATATATATATATATATAGTTATAATTTTGTTTCACATAAGATATATATATATATATATATGTGTTTTTCTTGTCTTAAGCGACATTAGATGATATTTACAAATATTTTTTTGGGTAATGTGAACACATTCATAGACTGACATTGCAAGAGCTAAGAGTTTCTTTACTTCCGGGTGAAGAAATTTCTTACTTCAACATTGAATTCTTTCTTTAATTTTGTGAACTATATATAAAAACAATTCTATCTTCGTTCTCCCAAACTGTTCAAAAATCTCTATCTATTTCCCTCTTCCACCTTTATTGTGCATATCTAAGATTTTATCATTTGTCTCTTTTACATTTGATTGAATTTTGTTTCCAAAAGTATTGCGGACTTTCCTAAGTTAACTGCCTGGTCAGGCCTGGTCAGAGCTGTCAACACTTTCTTTATAGCCTTTCTTATTTTGTAACTAGTGAAAAAAACCAGTGTCATCTGCATTTAACAGATGGTTTACCGCAAGACTTAGATTACTGATTTTTATTCATTAATTTTCCCATTTTTTATGTTTTTTTGGAAAAAGTATCTTTGCATATACATTAAAGAGTTATTTAATTCAAAGACATTTTCAGGTTTCATTCTTACAAAAAATACTTATAGCTATTGGGTAATTTATTTTTTTGTTAATCCGAAATTGTCCTTCGTGGATGCGATAAGGTGGATGCGAACTAATGGATAGCAGATTAAAACCCAGATTTCAAAAACAGTAATTATCTTTTCCCATCTAATTTTATTTTGTATTTTTCTGTATTATGAAAGACATAAAATATTTTTTTTTGTTAGAATGAGTTATAATTTTATTTTCTCATTGTTTTAAAATCCATTATACTATAGTTATTTATCAAATAAAAAATTTTCAAAAACATATGTATAAATTTTTTAAAAAAAATCAGAAGTCTAGGCAGATATCCACTTAAAAAATATGATGTGGATGATGCATAATGGACATATAACATGGACTTGAATGCGTGGATATGTTTTCATTGAGGTATCCACATATAAAATATGATGTGGATGATGCATAATGAATATATAACATGGACATGATTACGTGGATATGTTTTTATTGATATATTCAACATGGTTATACATTTTACATTGTTTATAACCTATCCATATGATCCACGTCCACCTTATGGACAATGTAAAATATATATTCATGTCGAATATATCAATGAAACAAATCTACCCAATCATGTCCATGTTGTATATCTATTATACATCATTTACGTCATATTATCAGAGTGGATATCTACCTATATTTTTGATTTTTTAAAAAAATTTATACATATGTTTTTGAAAAGTTTTTGCTTGATAAATAAATTATAGTATAATAGATCTTAAAACAATGAAAAAATGAAATTATAACTCATTTTAATAAAAAAAAATATTATATGTCTTTCAAAATACAGGAAAATACAAAACAAAACAGATAGGAAAAACTAATAATTATTTTTAAATTCTAGTTTTAATCTACTATCTATTTTTTCGAATCCACTTTATCGTATCCATGAGGGGTAATTTCGAATTATTTAAGCATAAACAATGAAATAAGTTACCTAGTAACTAAAAGTTACTCTTTTTGTTATTTGAGTTATAAAAGTGTCTAATTATCTCTACATTAAAATGAAAAGATAATGTGATAAATGGATATCTGATAAAGGTCATTAGGAGTCGTTTAACTTTTTTGGCGTTATCCATCTTCTTTTTTTTTTGGAATTTGTGTTATTATTTTTGGGTGTTTGTTTTTGTTTTTGTGTTAAGAGCATCATCATTATTTAGAAGAAGGCTGAAAGCAAGAGTATCAACCATTGACCATATTTAGAATTGAGGTTGATTATGGAAACCAAGAATAACGATGATGTGATAAGCGATGCTTTAGTGCAATATTAGGTTATGATTATGCTAAGATTGCTGTTGCGGTTCTTGTTTCCAAAGGAAAGAGCTTTATCATCTTCACCAGATTGCTGTTCATATTAAAAATAAAAAAAAACTACTAACCAATTTTTTTCATTCTTCTTATTGGAGTATGAGATCTGTTCATTAGAGTGAAGTCATGAACATCGAATATTTAATATATTTTTTCAGTATCTAGTATTTTTTCAGAATGAAAAAAATTGGTTAGTACTCTTGCTTTCAGCCTTCTTCAATTCTAAATATGGTCAATGGTTGATATATATATATATATATATATATATATATATATATATATATATATATAGATATGTTTTTCTTGTCTTAAGCGACATCAGATGATATTTACAAATGTTTTTTTGGGTAACGTGAACACATTCATAGACTGACATTGCAAGAGCTAAGAGTTTCTTTACTTCCGGGTAAAGACATTTCGTACTCATACCTTGAATTCTTTCTTTAATTTTGTGAACTATTTATCAGAACATTTCTATCTCCTTTCTCCCAAACTGTTTAAAAATCTCTAGTTATTTCCACCCTTATTCTCATTAATTTCTCTTTACATTTGATTGAATTTTGTTTTCAAAGGAAGTGTTATTGAAAATTGATTTATAAAAATTTTTAGAGTTTAAGATTTTATAATTATTAATTTGTTGATTTTTATATTCTTACTAGATTCCATTGTTATTCATTTACTGATTATAAAAATCGGTTGTTATTGATATGATGATTTTTATAATCTAATCAAAATTTATTGATATTTAAAAAATTTATATTTTAATAATTGTATGATTTTATTATAATATAATGTTATTAGCATAATAATTCTTTACAATTTAATTCATAAATCATAATTTTTAAAATATTATCTATATCTATTGGATTCTCAAAATCTGTCATATTAAAAATATTTTGTAGATTGTTTAAATTCATAAAACTCTCTCTAAATTTTACAAATCCAATAAAATTCTTAATAATTTGACAAATTTTATAATTTTTAAAATCAACTATAATCTTTATAAATCCAATTTCCAATAACTTTCCAAAGTAAATGGTTAACTGCACACTTTCTTTATAACCTTTCTGATTTTGTATTATATTAACTAGTGAAAAAGACCAAAGAGTCTTTGGTTAACCGCAAGACTTCGATTTTTATTCATTAATTTTCGTTTTTTATGTTTTTGGAAAAGCATTTTTGCACATAAACGAAAAGATAATGTGATGATAGATATCTGATGTAGGTGATTAGGAGTCGTTTAACGTTTTTGTCGTTCATCACTGTTTAAAATATTTTATTTTAGGCAACTTGTGTTTAATTTCTTTTTGATTTTTTCTTTTGTTGTTTTATGTTTTTTTAAATAAAATGTTAAATTATATTTAAAATGTATGAAATTGTTTTAAAAAAAAAAAACTAAAAACCAAAAACAAAGCATTTGAACGCTAAACAAAACAGAGTATTTGCTAATCTAAGAGCTTCCTCTTGTCGCAAATCATGTTTGCAGGCCGTCTTCGTATTTCCTTCGGCCTCCTCCTCTAATCGTTGATAGCCGGTTTCGAATGATTAGATCAATCTTCTTGCTCACCAGAGCTTCCGGAGTTGGTGGCTCACCATGGCGTCTTTCATTTCTCTCACACCAAATCGTGTAGACCGCTGCTTTTGGAATGTATATCGCAGAAGAAAAGCTTTTTGTTTGAGTGGCCGTTGGATGAATAACTTTGTCGAGCACCTCAGTCCATCTTGTCGTAAACTCTGAACCCATGATCCCACTTACAAGTGTATTCCATATATTCAAAGAAAAGGTGTTCTCGACTCTCAACTGGTTTATTACAGAAAGAGCATGCCATCTTGACAGCAATATTCTTTTGGTGTTTTTTCATATAGGTTAAAACTTATTCTTATTTTCTTTATTTCAAAAAAAATTCTATTTTTGTTTAGCTTTTAGTTATATTTCTATGTGGGTTGCAAGGGACATCTCATTAATAATAATTTAAGTTGAGAGTTTTTAGATTCTTGAAGTTTATCTTTTAAATTCATCGGCGAACTTGATTTCGTTCTAAATTTAGCGTTTGCTATTCTTGATGGTTTTTAAATGCAACTATCTCTCTGTCTTATACCGGTACACACTCTAACCTGATTAATTCCTTTAATGACCCATTAATCCGAACACAAAACATGTCACTGGATAATGTATCTACTTCTGGTCAAATTTCATATGCGTCATAGGCCCATAGCATAATATACCTTATGAACTATGATTACATTATCTATTATCATTTGATCTGTTACGGCCTTTTAAGATGCATTTTGATGTTTCAAGTATTCTAGTAATTGAAAGATCTATTTTTCCTATAAAAAAAAAAGAATCTATTTTTCTTGTTAGAGATTATTCACGTGGCCTTAATTTTACTCTACAGAACATTCTATGCATGTATGTACAACCGTGGGTAATGGCACACACGGACGACAAATAGTTAAGAGAAATTGACATTGGTGTGTTTACGTGGCAGTAACATTTTGATCCAAGATTCCAATGGTTTATATATTCTATAATGAGATTTTTAAATTTATTTTGTATGTTAGGGAGTAGCCTAAAAAGAAAAATTGTTGGAGTATATATCTCAATGTGATATAAATAGAGAGAGTTCATCTTTCCGTCGCCCCACCATGTTAACCTTCATTGTCAGGTCATTGTAATACTTGGTACCCTTTAAATATTTTCCGTAAATCTTTCCCTAAATCTTGAAAGTACAGGATTTAAAATGAAATAAAGCCTTTCGATATTAGAAATTGGATTTTCGCTGAATGAATCCTGCTTTTAGCAACACCAAAACTTACATCATGTCTGTTTTAGACGTGGAGCTTTAGTCAAAACAAGAGTTTTTAGTTTTGAGAATTCATTTGAGAGATGCTAAATTCTATTGTCGGGATCTTAACAGGAGGTGTTTTAGCGATGTTCAGAAGAGAGCAAAGGATGCGCTTGAGAAGCTTGAGGGTTTGCAGCGTCAAGTCCTCTCCTTTCCCTCTCCGACCTTGTTTGATGCTGAGTTGGAGGCTCGCAACTCTTGGAATTTTTAGGCCACAACTGAAGAATCATTTTTGAAGCAGAAATCAGGGATCAGATGGCTGGATTTAAGGGATTCTAATACCCGGTTCTTTCATAAGTCAGTTAAAGCTCACTGTATTTCCAACTCCATTCATCATTCATCTGCGAACCGACAATGATTCTAAAATCACGGATATTGCTCAAATGAAAAGGCTTGTGGAGCAGTTCTAATTCAACCTGTTGGGCTGCTCTAACCCAGCAATCATATATGTCCATATTCTATCTCTCACATTCAGAGCTTGCATCCCTTTCGATGCAATGATGTTTTGGCTAGTCATCTCTCAGCATTACCTTCTGTCTAAGAGATTGAAGATGCAGTTTTTTCCCTGCCTAAGAACAAAGCGTCGGGACCAGATGGTTTTACTGCATAGTTTTTTACCTCCTCCTGTGATCTTGTGGGTATGGACTTGATTAAAGCTGTCCAGGAGTTTTTTTACATCATCTCGTCTTCTGAGGCAGGTCAATTGTACTGCTATAGCTCTAATTCTGAAACGGATTGGTGCTGAAAGATTAGAGGACTTCAGACCCGTCTTTTGTTGTTCAACCATGTAAATGGTAATAGCTCGCATCTTATCTAATCAGGTCGGTTTTATCAAAGGGAGATTGTTATGTGAGAATGTTCTATTAGCTTCTGAGCTTGTTGCTGATTTTCACAAGTCGGGTACCACTTCAAGAGGTTGTTTACAAGTTGATCTCACCAAGGCTTATGATAGTATTAAGTGGAAGTTTATCCTGAACATTCTCCATGCTTTTCAGCTTCCAGAGATTTTTGTTTCTTGGATTAAAGAATGTATTTCCACACCCTCATACTCGGTTCTCTTAAATAGTGAGTTGGTGGGATTCTTCAAAGGGAAAAAATGTTTGTAATATAATTTTTAATTTATCAAATTTTGTAATATAATTTATGTTTTTTTTTCATATATAATTTTCTAATAAGTGATAAATATTTTTCTGTTTATGTATATTTTGTTTCTATTAATTTATTATTTCTAGTATATATATGACTGCGAGTAGAGAAACATTATTCTATTTCGTCTGTTTATATTAATCTAATAAGTACAACGATTATAAAAACGTTATTATAACATGTCCATTTATATTAATCCGAAAAGAATTATAGTTATTAAAACATAATTATAACACGTCCATTTATATTATTTGTATATTTTACATATTTTTTAAATTTGAATATTAAAAGTTTTAGACTTATTTAATAATAATATATTATTTTTATCTTTATCATTAAAATATTACTTAAATTTGAATATAATTAAATCTTAATTGATATCAGATTTATTATTTTTGTAAAAATATAATAATAACTGATTTTATAATATTTGATAAATAATATAACTTAAATTTAAGGAAATCTATAACAAATCTAAATTCAAATTTAAATTTTTGAATTTATTTTAAGATATAAATTAAAAATATATTATTTATTAATATTGTATTAAATTGACTTGTTTGGTAACATAAATAGGAGTTATTCCAAAAACAGAATAGTAAAAAACTAATTAAAACCTGTTTGGACACAAAATACCCTTCGCTTTTAATAGTATAGATATCAATTAAAATAAAACAAAAACAAACCAAGATTTCTTTCCTTTTATTTAGTGACCAAATATAACCGAACTAGATTGAACCGAACTTAATTTAGTGCACTGAACCGAAAACAAAACTGATCAAAAAACTAAACCAAAAACTGTTACTTTCTTCAAAGGAAGATGTAATAATCAAAGACTGAATCACTAGCTTTTGTGCTCTACATTGCTATTTTCCCCGCAATGACGTTCGGGGTCTGTTTCAAGAACCACCCTGAACAAATATCCCATAAGATATATAAAAAGTGAAAGGTCCTCAGCCAACTTTGATGATAATGTTATTTTCCAACAGTGTGATCTCAGCTGCAGCTTAACGTTCACTGTGGAGCTTAAGTGACTCAATTATCATTTGCTCATCTGTGTCTTATCCTACGTAGCTCGTGTCAGGCTTGTACCCTTCTCAGCTGTCAATTCATTGATCTTTCTCACGATCTCATCTCATTTCGTGTGTGTCTGGTCATTCGATGAGAATACGTGAAATCTTGTGGTTCGCTTTTTTAACACGTCTAGAGCTTTCCCATTCCGCACCTGCTGCATCGATGTTGGACAAGCCACCATAACAGATTGCACCGAGCTGTTTCCAAGCCTCCAGCTCAAGCAATCCGTGAGATCCAAATGACACTTCGTAGGAGATTAGCTGCTCTCGACTCTTCGGCCGTTGCTATTTCCTCTTCGAGGATCTCCTACCTCTCCACTTGGTTCGGATTCATTCAGTTTTCGAATCACCCAACGCCTTGATACTTCTCTGCTCCTTTCTGTTTATTCAGCTGCATTTCTCCACTTCTACAAGGCTCGGCTCTGTTTTGCTCTCCAATCTCTTTCCCTAATGATTATTATCTTATGTATTTTTCTTTTGCTTATGATTTTTAGTATGTTTTTCATTGGGCGATGTAACTTTAAACGATGTCTCTTTTGAGAGTGATAGGGGGAAAAAAAAGGAAATAAAATCATATATTAAAAAAGAAAAGAATTTATTTCCATAAATAACCGATAAAATTTAACTTATTCATTTGAGTTTTCAAATCATTTATAGATCAACAAATCGTATTATATATTATCGACGATATTATAATTGAGTTATGTACATGGTTAGGAGTCGATTTAAGTAAATTCCAAATCCTAAATCAATAATCTTTGATCGAGTGGTTAAATGTGTAATACTATAATTCATAAGAGAAAATTAGATTCATCTTTTTATATGGATTTCCAATCATAATTGATCAATTAATATGGATGTCAGTCATGTCACGGCAAGAATATCCAACTCTTCAACATTATTTAGGGTTTTAGAGTAAAAAATCAAGTCCAAAATACTCCAATTATAAATAAAACTAAGCATGATTCATAAATCTTTTTGAACAAGGAGACAGTTGAGACATTGTGCCTTTCAAAACTATTGGGACCAAAGCGTCAACTATTCGAAGCAAGTGTGACCAGCTCGTGTTCCCATGCTCACTGCACCAGTCCACTAAACCTAGGGCCGGCCCTGAACTAAATCTGCTAAAGCAATAGTTTTAGACGCCAAATTTAGTATAAATATTAAGGGCAGCAAATTTTAATCAAATTCCTTCATAGTTATGTAAATATTTCTTTTTGTTGGTCCATCATTCTGTTGTCAAATAACCCAAGTTCGATGCTCCCTCATATATTTGTTATGTAAATATTTCTTTTTGCTTCAGGCGTCAGATACAGATACAATTGGGCCGGCCCTGACTAAACCATTCGAATATATCGAGTCTCATTTTCATCAATTTATTTATAATCCAAACATTCCACCATTTCTTTTTTAAAACCATTCCACCATTTCTTACGATATATTTTATGATATAAACTAAAATTAGGTTTATTAAATAATTTTTCTTCTTGAAACCTGTAATAAAACGATGAATAAAACCTGTAATAAAACCTGTAATCTATTAAGCTAATTACAATAGTCAATAAAACTGAACTCGATTGTATATTAATATTTTGCATCACCAAATAACCAAATCCTATAAAAAAAACGATGAATAAATGTTCTTTTTCCTAATTTCACCTAAACACATCATATATTGACACATAAATATTTTTTTTAAAATACAAATAAACGGGATTCATTTCAAACAAAGTTGAACCCAACGCCAATAGATCTTCAGAAGATGAACAAAATTCTGAAAAGCAAATGAAAACTTAAAATAGAAAAATATTTTATATAAAAATATTTAGCCAAATGAATGTTTAGTATCACATATTCTTTTTTTGAAAAAAATACAAAAATCAATATCCCATGGGCCATGGCCATGACAAATGGAATGCCCTATTTGTATTGCAACTTGAAGATTCCTCCGCCACTTATTTTTCAAATCAAGACATGTTATGTGAGCCACTCTTTCTATCATCTCAAGATTTATATGTAACCATTTAAGTCCATTTATCATTTTCACAAATCTAAAGCATACCCAAATCTATATATTTAGGAGAACCCACTCCAAGCGTCACCACAACCGCACAAATCTCGATATTTTTTTAGAATTACTATTTTTATATATGCTGAACTTGAGAGAAACAATTGAAATTTATTTTATTTTTCACTCAGGAACATTTCCAGAATCTGAGCGCCCTCTCTCTCTCTTCTAAGCCATGGAAAAAACAATCGAAAACGAAGTTATTCATTAAGCTTCCTCTGTTTTTTCATCAAGTTAAATTGTTCTCCCAAGAAACCCGTTAAAACGACTCGAATCAATGGATAAAAACGGCATCGTGTTGATGCAAAGGTACGAATTAGGACGTCTTCTAGGTCAAGGTACATTCGCTAAAGTGTACCACGCACGTAACCTAAAATCTGGAGAAAGCGTAGCGATCAAGGTAATCGACAAGCAGAAAGTCACGAAAGGCGGATTAATCGATCAAATCAAACGAGAAATCTCAGTGATGCGTCTTGTTCGTCACCCAAACGTCGTCTTCCTCCACGAAGTCATGGCGAGCAAAACAAAGATATATTTCGTGATGGTGTATGTAAAAGGCGGTGAGCTTTTCGACAAAGTCTCTAAAGGAAAACTTAAAGAAGATATTGCTCGAAAATATTTTCAACAATTGATTGGAGCAATCGATTATTGCCATAGCCGCGGAGTTTACCACCGCGATCTCAAACCGGAGAATCTGCTTCTAGACGAAAACGGCGATTTGAAAATATCTGATTTTGGGCTCAGCGCGTTGAGAGAGTCGACGAAACAAGATGGCTTGCTTCACACGACATGTGGAACACCTGCTTACGTGGCGCCTGAAGTGATATGCAAGAAAGGTTATGATGGAGCTCAAGCTGATGTTTGGTCTTGTGGAGTTGTGTTGTACGTGCTGTTGGCTGGATTTCTTCCGTTTCACGAGCAGAATCTTGTGGAAATGTATCGAAAGATCACGAAAGGCGAATTCAGATGTCCGAATTGGTTTCCTCCTGAGGTCAAGAAGCTGTTATCTCGGATTCTTGATCCTAACCCTAATTCAAGAATCAAGATTGACAAAATCATGGAGAATTCTTGGTTTCAAAAGGGTTTCAAAAAGATCGAAACTCCTAAATCTCCTGATAGTCATCAGATCGAATCGCTAATCAGCGATGTGCACGCAGCCTTTGCTGTGAAACCGATGTGTTACAATGCATTTGATCTAATCTCCTCGCTGTCTCAAGGGTTTGATCTCTCGGGATTGTTTGAGAAAGAAGAGAGGTCAGAATCGATGTTTACATCGAAGAAGGAAGCGAAAGAGATAGTGTCGAAATTCGAAGAGATAGCTATGAGTAGTGAGAGATTCGATTTGAAGAAGAGCAATGTAGGAGTGAAGATGGAAGATAGAAGAGAAGGAAGAAAAGGTCAACTTGCCATTGATGTTGAGATATTTGAAGTGACAAAGAGTTTTCATATGGTTGAGTTTAAGAAAAGTGGAGGTGATACAATGGAGTATAAACAGTTTTGCGATCTTGAGCTTAAGCCATCTTTGAAAGATATTGTTTGGAAGTGGCAATGAAACAACAACAACAACAATGAGAAACACTGTGTAATGTGATCAAATCTGTTTTTTCCTAATCATTTTTTTCCCTTTAATATAATTTCCTTTGTTTAATCTCTGTGTAAAATCTGAGATTTATGATATTGGATTGGCTGCAATATATCATCACATATCTAGATTTTTTTTTTGGTTCAATACTTACAAAAATACGAACCTGGTTATTGGGACTGCGTCAAAAGACATGTTGAGTAAAATGCATTTACACATTTGATCTCTACTTCGAAATTGCATCACTAATACCGATTCTAACCTCCCACACCAAAATATAAAAGATCAAACGCGAAAATAACAAACTTGTTTATTTCAATCTGTGTTTTTCCCTTTCTATACATCAGAGATTCATATCTCACCAGTCCTCTTTTAGCTCTAAAGCCTAATTTACACCATGCAAAGAACAAGAACATCACAATTGGTTAAAAACTCATGATTCACAGATCTAAAAAAAAGTCACCAAAACCTAAACCAATAAAGCAGCTTCACAAATCCAAGAAAACCATTTCTTTCATCTTCCTAATCAGTATCAGAAAGCAGATAAGTAGGCAAAGAACGAGACGACGCACAAACTGATTCTCCATTATCAGCACTCAAGCTCAGCAATCTCGGTTTCAGTTCCTTATTACAAAACTCATCATACTCCATTTTATCACCTCCTTTCTTCTTCACTTCAACAACAACCAAAGCTGGAGTCAACTCAAATATCTCAGCAGCAATTCTCAATGGACCTTTCACACTTCCTTCTCTCGAACCTTCAAGACTCACTTTACAATCCTTCTTCCGCACGGTAAAGCTCACAACTTTCGCAATCTCCTCAAGTTTCGATATGATCTTGTTAACCGGAGCTCCAGAGACAAACCTAGAGCCTTCACCATCATCATCATCAAACAAACCGGATAAATCAAAACCGGGAGAGAACGAAATGAGATCAAACGCATTCAAACTCGCCGGTCTAGGCATCGTCATTGCTCTCCTCCTACCATCAAAAGACTCGAATTCCGGTTCAGAAAACGTAGAAGACCCTTCAGAAACCGATTCGACGGATTCGATTTCATCATCGACGTCACAGAGCTTATGATCATCTTCAACATAGAACTTGATGCTCTTAAACCCTTTTTTGAACCAACCAGTCTCCATAATCTCCGGCATTGTGAACCGTCTCTCCGGTTTAGTCTCCAGCATTCGAATCAATAACCGGTTAATCTCAACCGGAAACCATCTCGGACACCTGAAATCTCCTCTGTAAATCTTCTTATACATGGCCATAACATTCCGATCATGGAAAGGAAGAAACCCAGCCATTAACACGAAGAGGATCACTCCACAAGACCAGATATCGACTTTAGCTCCGTCGTAGCCTTTCCGAGCAAGAACCTCCGGTGCCACGTAAGCAGGCGTGCCACAGAAAGTGTGGAAAAGCCCGTCTTGTCGTATCTGATCGGAGACGGCGCTTAAACCGAAATCGGAGACTTTTAGGTTTCCGTTTTCGTCTAAAAGAAGATTCTCCGGCTTCAGATCTCGGTGGTAAACGCCGCGGAAATGGCAGAACGAGACGGCGGATATCAATTGCTGGAAATATTTCCGGGCGATTTCTTCTTTTAATCTCCCTTTCGCGACTTTGTTGAATAGCTCTCCTCCTTTCACGTATTCCATCACGAAGTAGATCTTCGATTTCGTCGCCATGACTTCGAAGAGCTGCACGATGTTCGGGTGGCGAACGCGGCGGAGGATTGAGATCTCGCGTTTGATGTGCGCGATTAAACCGCTTTTGAGGACTTTCTCTTTGTCGATCACTTTGATCGCGACGCTTTCTCCTGACGTCGCGTTTCGCGCGAGGTAGACCTTGGCGAAGGTTCCATGGCCGAGAAGCCGACCCATTTCGTATTTCCCGAGGATTAGAGCTTGTGTGTTGCTCTTATCCTTCTTCTTCATCGATTTCACTTTTCTCAGCAAATCCGCCATTGAAAAGGAGAGGTTTTTTTATCTTTCCCCCTCGTGAAATGGTGACGAAATTTCGAATTTTGAGTTCAGGGTCGTCTTCGTTGGAGTTCGAATTTCGAAAAATTCACATGGATTTTGGTGATTATCGAGAGGTTGTAGACGAAGACGACGATCTTCTCTCTCTCTCTCTTCTCTTCTTCTTCTCCTTCTCTCTGTCTCTGTTCTGTTTTTAGGGTTTTTTCCAGAAATAGGATTCTACTTTTTGTATATTTGGAATTTGTTTCCCGAATTGCTATACAAATTAATTTCACTTCTCAGGGTCATTACACCGACACATATATAGCCAGTATCTCAATTAGTTTTATATTTTTTAAAAATTGCCATATACGGATATACCATACTAATCCGTTCGTTGACTATCGAAAAATAAATGCAGTTTTTATGTATCATATTTACATTTCCTAACATACAAGTTATCGTAGATCGTCAATTTTGTTTATAAAAATTTGATTGACAACACATTTTAATATCTGTAAAAATATCGAAACATAAGAATTATTTCAACAAAATATGTCAATGATATCTTAATAGAGAAATGATAATGAAGGTTTCTCTAAAAATGAGAAGTGATAAATCCGGAAATATCTAGAAAATCAATTAAATGGGGAATACATACGTTAAAATTAGATGCATTGCAACTATACAACTGACCATTTCCCAAAAGAATTTTAAAAAGGAGTAAAAAACGAAAATGTTCATCACAACTCGGTTTGTAACAATAACAAAATGGCGTTATAGAATATTCAATTATAAAAACAATATTTTTTTGTAGAAAATTAGACATCGTATATGTCATTATCATTGTAATGGTCTCAAGTTTCTCTCTACTACGTGTTAGTTTTGCTTACATACTTTATCAAAACAAATCAACAGCTGTAGAATAAATTTAGCCAGTACTCATTAGATGCCAGATAAATAGATAATGTATGGTGTTCTGACAAAAAAAATGTCTTTAAATGTATTGTGTAAAACTGACGATAATTTTCTATTAATAAATCACTAAGTTAATTTTAAGATAATCATGAAGTTATAAGGATATACGGATATACACCATACGACAAGAAATGGATAATACTTAGTCCTATATTTTATTCTACATGACTAATCCAAATTCCAAAATTTAAGTCGTTTAAAAAAAATTCAGAAAACCCAACATTGTTTTATATTAACTGTATTTTTTGTCATTGAAGAAAAACCACAATGTAAGTCAAGTGTATGAGATTTTTAAGGAAAGTCGGTGAGGTTGTAAGTCAACGTAATATAATAGTCGGTCAAGATTTAAATATAAGCAAAGTGGACAAATTAATGTTTTTGATAGATTACCCAACCCAACTAATAAGATTTATTAGCATTATCGATAGTGCTAAACATATATAAATCAAAGGTTCATTTGGACCGTACACTTATGATAATAACGTGTACGTATCAGGCCATATTGGTGGTTGGTGAATTAGAGAACCTCATCAATGATATTCACATGAATTTTTTTGAATAGGTGTCTCAAATATTAAAGAAATTCATCCGAAATTTTTTTCATTCGAATTTTGTTTTACAGGTTTAATTCACGTGGATTATAGCAATTACTCACAATTTTTTTTTCCTACACAGCTTTCTGCATGTAAAGTTGTAACTTTTCTCTATTGAGATTTTAAGAAATTTTTGTAATAAAATGAATAAATCATTTAAACTTTTCATTTTCGAGATTAGAGCATTGACCTAAAAATCCGCTCAAATCATTAACCACTCAATTGGGCTGGTCATTTTCTTGTTAGTAGTTCCAAAAGTCCAAAATGAATGAATCGGGCCTATAAAGTGTTCTGATCTAAAACATTTTGTCTACTACAAGCCTCTATTACAATCCTGTGTATTTTTTTTTAATGAAGTATTTTCCTGAAAAATATTGATAAACCGATCCGATGGAGCATAAACGATGGTCTGTACGGCTCTACCCTCTATATATTCTTCACCTACATTCAGGTTCAACTCTTGGTTCTCCCAAGTAGAGAGACGAAAAGCCAATGAGCCACTAAAAAAAATTTATATGGACAAAAACTTAATTTGATATCAGAAACTTCTTTGTAAGTTTAGTACAAAATAATTGCATTATTTTTTACCTTATTGAGGATTGTGAATCGAGATAGTATAGAGATTGCATAAATTTAAATCTAAACTTTAATCGTCTACAATTCATTCACATTACTATTGGTTTTTATTATGTAATAAACTCTAGTCAAAGCTCCAGTCAATTTAGTTGTAGTATTACCTAAGAATAATCCAGTTCCATTAAAAATAGAACAAGGTCGCATAACACATATAAGCACATGGACCTACCATGTTGGTGTTGGAGGGTGAGAGTAGTTAAATTAAGGGATAAATTATTAAAGAAAGAATGTGGATTAACTTTTAGGTTGGGTTGCTCAAGGAGAATGTGAATAAGTTAGATACTTTGTGGAATATTAGTTGTCATTCTATGGATCTTTTTGTCTTGGGATTTAGTTGATTTGTTTGGAATTTCTAGATATCATTCTCTTTTAATATCTATTCACTAATTTAGTTGTTGATTCAAGGTTATTTTAATATAAATCATATCATATCCTGCCAGATTATTTAATACTTTTTCGGTAATGAAATGTTCTTAGACGTATATATTATACTGTGATGCTCGACTTATTATGAAGAAGAGACATTTTCGGCAAATGCAATACTTTACTAATCGAAAACAAAATACTTTCACAATACAATAATACTATTAAAATAAACATTGGGGTTAATTAACTACAACAAAAAATATGAACTTCTTCATTGTATAGTTGATAACACCAGGATAATTACAATGAATAGGAAGGAAAAAACACACCCAGGTATTACAATGGAGTATGGTTCTTTAGACAGCATGCAAATTTGTTATATAATCTGAAAAATCCTAAAAGTCTTTGATTAATTGTATCAAGAAGTTGTAGCTTTGAAAAATCCTAAAATATTATAAACGGTTTAATCAATAAGTAGTAATTTAATGATGGAGTGAATACTTTTTTGTAGGCGTAGCATAGTGTAGTAATTCTTCCATACACAGATTTTTATTGTCTTTTTCAATAGTTATAAATGTTAAATGACAGAAAAAAAACCCGAAAATTGTTATAAGTGTTTGCATAGATTCTTAGTTGTGGGGAAAATAACTAAACACTAAATAAAAAGTAAAATATTAATAGAAATGTTATCACATAATCCTTGGCAACTGGGAAACGATAGTATAATATACACGAACTTACTCCACTATCACATTTAACTATATATAGTCTTTGCTCCGGCGGACATTTTTCCTTAAAGTCATAAAGAGAATCTGTTAAATCTTGAGATTTTGAAAATAGTAACACTAATATTATATTCACATAATTCAATGCAACTTTAATTTGGGTGGTTTCTCATATGGGAATGTTTTGGACAGCGACATATACTACACAATTATCAATATAATCAAAACTTTATGTAGTTAATTTAGTGAAACAGTTAGCCCTAAGTTAAATATATATAGATTTTGATGCTTCAATAACCGAAAAACTAGGTGAAAGTGAAACACACTTGTTATTCAAAAAGGTACACAGTTACTTGGTTTTATTTTTGACGTCAACTTACACCATTACATTATTTACTTTCAACCAAACCTATCAACAAATAACCGATAGTAATAAATATAAGGCATTTATTACAAGCCGATCAGAAGATACACAAGTACTAGTAAATTCTCGAAACACGTTTTTTAGTAGTAATTAAAAGAATTGTAAAATTACACCTAGGATACAACATAATGAATTTGTTAAAGTTAGGGTCCCCGTTTCTATTTCTCAGCATCTGCATCAACTACCACACAAAATCATGGCACCAACCATACCCCTTTGCTTACCTCACTTGAGTTTTAAACTCATAAAACAACATCAGCATAATGTTTTAGACTTTTTTTTTATTGTATAATGTTACAAGTTACAGCTTACATGTACGCGATTTTCACATATACTAATTAAAACATAGATTGTTTATGGGTATTGTGAATATTGCCTTTTATTTTACATGGAATCAGACTAAGAATATGGATTTAGCTACGAAAATACAGATATCAGTTGTTGATATACTTTTCTTGTGCTATAAACTTATTAACAGTAAACTATAGAAGATGTAATTTTTTATCTCAACTGTTTGATATGTTATATATTTCGTGTTTTTTTCTTCGACGTGATTGAATTCTTAACACGCTTCTTTTATAAAATGACAAACCAGTAGTCTATTTCAAATCGAATTACACGGTAGAATCAGGAAACTATTCAATTCCAATCAACATAAACTCTAATAAAACGTCAAGGCACACCAAGTCATTTTCGAAGTTCAAACTAATTCAATTAGTAGTGACTTTATAAGATTATATTTTTGAAGTATACAAATGTGTCCGTGATTGAAAAGAAGAAGAGAGAGAGAAAACAAAAGAAAACAAAAGGAATTCCATTATTTCTCTTTTGATTTATCGGATACCAATCATGTACTTATCATCATTATCTTTACGAGGTACTTTTTTTTTTGCCTCTCTGATCTTTTTAAAAAGTGAAAGTAAAAACTAAAGAATCCTAATGACCGATTAACAGTATTTTAGAGAATTGCCCTATTCTAAATCACTAAAATTAATTGATTCACTAATTTTGTTCTATATAATTTGAAGTTATACATATATATATTGTTGATTAAAATAGTTTCAATTTACCACAAGGTAAAATGATTGATTCAAATAATTAAAAAAATATTTCATATATAAACATTAGTCGTTCGCTTTTACGAAAGAAAAAGCTAGACAAAAGAACATTATAAAGATAATGATGGTAACCAAACACATAATTACGGAATCCTGAAATTGAAAAGAAAAATAATTTGATTAGATCTTCCTTTTACCTAGAGAGATAAAAAGAATTTTAAAAATCTAATTTACTTAATTCAAATACTTTACCTAAGTTGCATATTATAGTGATCATAATACCAGAAAACCGAATTACATTATTTTATATTTACAAAATTAGCCTCAGTTCCTTAAAAACATGTCACTGATAAATTATAAAAAAAAAAAGACTACAACATTAATCAAATCCGAAAAATTATAATTGAGCTAGTTTATAAATAAAAAATAAAAAATTGACTTTCATTTTTTCCGTCATAGTCCAC